TTTGAGACGTCTCTTTAAGTAGGTGTTTTGGGATTTCGGTTTGCATAATCAGTTTAAAGGATTTACTTCTTTCTTATGTTGTTGAATTTTTTTCTCTCTTCTTTTTTTGTCTTTTTTTTTTCTGTCTGGAAATGTTACTATTTCCTCCACTGGATATCTGGCACTCTACTCAGAGCCTGATTTCAGGATGATAAATGTGGAATTTCTGTTCCATGTAATACTGAGAATACAGCTGACTTGGTCTCAAAAATCAGTTGTTGTAACTTATTCCTCACCTTGAAAATGTTTGGATCTTTGCAGCCTCCTATTCCCTGACCCATAGCAGAAGTTAGTCACAATGCTTAGCCTTTTCTTCTCTTCCTGCATAAGAAAAAGAAAGTTTGATTTTGTTTGAGTTCAGCAATGATGAATAGGTGGCCATGTACATGCCAGTTCAAGTCCTTGCTTGAACTTCTGATCCAGTTTCCCTCTGCCGGCCTGGGAAGGTATCAGAACATGACCCAAATGCTTTTGTCCCCACACCCATGTGGGAGTGCTGGAGGAAGCTCCAGGCTCCTAGCTTCAACCTGGCCCAGCCTCATTGCTACCATTGAGGCAGTGAGCCAAAAGTTGGAGCATCTCCCTCTGTCTCTGCCTCCTTCTTTTCCTCCTACTCCTCTAACTGTAACTGTGCCTTTCAATTAAATAAAGACTACATCTTAAAAAAAATTAGGTGGCCAAAGCGAGAACTCAAATTGACTTGAATTTAAATTCAGTCACTTACCTTTGGTATCTTTGTAACATTCCAGTAGCATTCTGGAGAGAACGTGAGAGGTGGGATGGATCAACCAGGCACATGAGCCAAAAGTTAAAAATGGTAACCGGAGCGTGGATAGGGTGGTGGTGTCTGCTAAAAATGGTAACCGGAGTTTGGATAGGATGGTGGTGTCTGCCTGTGGCAGGGCTAACAACAAGGCAGGAAAATGCAGCATCAGCAGGCTTCTGTGCAGGCAACAAGTATGTTGAAGTAAGTATAACTAAGTAAGAAGTGCAAGGTCAGAGTAACTCGTCACAAGGTGACAATGAGGTAGCACTTCAGCAGCACTTTGAACTGACAGATGTAACTGACTGAGGCCTTGAGCTGCAGAAGCTTCCGCATCTTCCCCAAGAGAAAACACACCAAGAGTCAAGGTTAGTGCACAGATAGCCAGAGGCTGTTCAGATGGAGTTGGGACTTCAGTTTCCTCCAAGGGAATTTACCTTCTCAAATTTCTTTGCATTCTGGTCTATTTCAGGGCCCTAAACTGCCCCCTAATGGTAGGATCTAACTCCTAAAAGAAAGGTTTGGGATGTTACTTCGTTTTAAATCTTGTGTCGCCTTCCTTGGGATCCCCATTGTGGCTCTGTTTGCCCTCTGGAACAGAAGCTCTGTTCATAGGCTTTAACAAATAAGAGATTTTTTCCCACCCAATGTTTGATGTTTCATCATGTTTCCAGCATATGATTCAATAATATATATGCTCAGAATTTGAAAACTGTAGTAAACCTAAACAGCTATTAATGGACTCCAGCCACCAGCTTAGGCTCACTGGCAAATAAAGAATAACTTTCCTGAACTAATTTCAGTTAGTTTAAAAATTTTTTCCAACTGGTTTATGGCTTTGAAACACAAATTATTAAATGATTATGACCAATATTATCTAAGAGTTTGCTTGGGCTTTCACTTGAACTTGTAAAGAATCCTTTGAAACTCTTAGTTCCTAGGAATTTAGAAAACTCAATGTTTGAGCAGCATTATGCATTAGTTGATATCTAAAATATTTAATCAACAACCAACCTGTATTATTTCCCTTTCCTCAGGCTGCTTTTGAAATGCCATAAATTATAGAAGAAAGCATCTGAGATTGTTAACAGTGATTTTATATTCATCAACGTTCTGAGCCCCAAGATCTTTAAGGGAAGGCAGACAGCGCCTGGGGAATGATCCATGTGACCTGCTGGAGTCATCCCAGTGAATGGTGTGATAATACCCCAGTCTCTGCACAAAAAAAGGAATGGAACGGCTGTATTATAGAAGTACCAGTTCGATTTAGAAAGAGCAAGTGGAAATGTAACATGTATAGGGCTCTCCCACCAATAGAAGGAAGCAAAGAAGATGTGTGGGTTGGCTGATCCAGTGGATGCACTGGCTGAATTAACCAATACACCAAGGGCATATGTTTAAAACCTTGTAATGTATAACATTAGGTTTCATATTAATTACTTAATACATTAAAAATATCTTCCACAAGTATTAATGATTAAATAGGCAATTCTATTAGCAGCTGTATATTTACCATTGAAACAAAAAATGTATTGAACTATACTGTCAATTATAACATAACTAATAAAAAGTTACAGTAAATTATGCACTTAAAATAGATGCATTTTATTGTACAGGTATGTTTGTTGGGCCTCAATGCAGCAACTTTTTAAAAGATAAAAGAATTAGGGCTGGGAACCTGAGGCAATGGATCAATGGTTAAATCCTTACCTTGTAGATGCTGGGATCTCACATGGGCACCAGTTCATGTCTTGGCTTCTCCACTTCTCATCCAGCTCCCTGCTTGTGGCATGGGAAAGCAGTGGAGGATGGCCCAATGCCTCAGCTCCACTCTGGCCATTGCAGCCATTGGGAAAGTGAACCAGCAAATGGAAGATATTTTTCTCTGTCTCTCCTTCTCTCTGTAAATCTGATCTGCCTTTGCAATAAAAATAAACAAACCTTAAAGAAGAAGAAAAAGAAGAAAAGAAAGAATTAGAGCTGCATTGTGGCACAGTGTGTACCACTCCAATCTGCAACACTGGCATCACATCTGGCCGCTAGGTCGCGTCCAAACCAGCTCCTTGCTGCTGGCCTGGGAGAAGCAGTGAAGAATGGCTCTCCTCTGCCCCCAAATGCAACTCCTGGCTCCTGGCTTCAGCCAAGCCCAGCAGTTGCTGTTGTAGCCATCTCTCTCTCTCTCTCTCTCTCTCTCTCTCTCTCTCTCTCTCTGTCTGTGTGTATGTTTCCTTCTCTATTGGTAACTCTCGCAACATAAATAAATAAATCTTTTTAAAATATGTGAGAATAGACTTGGATAAAATTTGTCTTTGGCTTCTGAAGACTATATTTATGAAAGGAAACTTATGATGTTTTTGAAAAGTTTTCTAAATCATTGTTTTCCACGCTTTACAAAATGATAGATGTGTAAGCAAATAAAATTTGTCAGCTAGTAATACTGGCTAGCCCAGTTTCTTTTCTACTATGTAATATGTAGAAGGAAACTTGGTTAACTTGGGAGTTATCTTCTTTCTTATTTTAATTTTTTCCATAGATTTGTTTGTTTGTTGTTTGTTTGGAAAGTCAGAGTTACAGGGACAAAGAGACACAGAGAGAAAGATCTTCTGTCTCCTGGTTCACTCCCCTAATGGCTACAGTGGCCAGAGCTAAGCTGATCCATCTCCCATCCAGCTTCCTGCTTGTCACTTGGGAATACAGTGCATGATGGCCCAAAACCTTGAGACCCTATACCTGTGTGGGAGACTCAGAGGAAGCTCCTGGCTCCTGGCATTGATATCTGATTAGATTATATTCAACCAGAACAGACAAGTTTAATATTGGAATAGAATCTAGGATTTAATTCCAAAGTTCAATTTACATTTATTTGATGTATCTTTGATATGGGGTTGCAATTGGCTCTATTAAAAATTTGATGTTGGGCCTGGCACAGTAGCCTAGTGGCTGAAGTCCTCACCTTGCATACACCAGGATCCCATATGGACACCGGCTCTAATCCTTGTCACCCTGCTTCCTGTCCAGTTCCCTGCTTGTGGCCTGGGAAGGCAGTAGAGGATGATCCAAAGCCTTGGGACCCTGCACCGGAAGAAGCTCCTGGCTCCTGACTTTGGATTGGCTCAGCTCCAGCCATTGCAGCTACTTGGGGAGTGAACCAGTGGATGGAGAATCTTCTTATTTGTCTATCTCTCTCTCTGTGTATCTGATTTCCCAATAAAAGTAAATAAGTCTTTTTAAAAAAATTTGATGTTAAAGATGGCATTGTGGTGTAGCAAGTATTTGGGCCACTGTACCCATATGAAAGACTCAGAAGAAGCTCCTGGATCCTGGCTTCCACCTGGCCCAGCTCCAGCCATTGTAGACATTGCAGTCATTTGGGGGCTGAACCATCAAATGAAAATTTCCTCCCTTGCCTCCTACTCTTCTGTAACTCTGCCTTTCAATAAATAAAACAAAATAGCTGAATGCTAATATCAAAACTAAAAATGGGTTTAGCAGTTCATTGGTTTTCTGCCTCTCATATGCTCTCTCCATCATTTCATAGCCTTGTTGTCTTAACCAAGGGGCAGAAGCTGTCAAATGGCTTCATTTGCACCGAGGTGACCAAGGGATGCAACTGCTAAAGGCAGGTCACCATCTGGCCTCCCCATGTGTCAGGCAGTGTTCTGTGTGGTTTGTGTGTATTTGGCTGGGTCACTGCAAGGTGATGCAGTCATAATGATTTGAGTCTCACAGGGCTGGCCTCAGACCTGTGGCCTCTCTGGTTGACCTCTGTCTCTGACAGACTCAAGTGGCTGTGTGCATGACCTGCCAAGCATGGCCTCCTCTATCTGTGTACTGGCCTCACAGGCGGTCACTGTCACCTGTCACTGTTCCCCTTTGGTTTGGTCCAAAGGGAATTCTAGAACTAGGAAAGGTCCCTCTGCACAGCTTAATGTCAACATCATCTTCCTTGCTCTTGGGTGAGCACCTAAGGCCAGGGGCTCCTAGTCACCATTTTATTAATGAAATTGATCACAGCATTTGGCAGATGGCAACCTTGAAGTGAACATTTGCTAAATCCATGACTCCAATGGCCAGGTTTTACCAGATGAACCAGGTATCTCAGGGTATCCTCTCCATGAGCCACACAGCTGCCTCCCTGGGCTTCTGTCCTCATAACCCTGCCCTCCCCACTCTCACCCCTCTGCCTTTCCTGCTGCAGCCGATGGGATCCGAGCGCTTGGAAATGCGGAAGCGACAGCTGTCAGCCGCTCCAGGGACAACAGACTCTGTCCCCAGCCAGCCTGGAACGGGAAATCGAGGGTCCAACGCTTGCTGTTTCTGCTGGTGCTGCTGCTGTAGCTGCTCCTGGTAAGGTTGGGGGCTGTTGTATTAATGAGTTCCTCTTGGGGAAATGGGAGTCAGTTTAGGCTTCATTGGGGGTTTTTAGATAACTGCTCTTTGAGGGAGCTTCAAATAGTGCATGGAAAGGGAGAATTCAAAGTAAGTTCAATTTTAGTGCCAAAAGAGGTGAAATCCATGAGTAGTTTTTCCAATAATATGTAGTTTCTGTAAATTTTTTGAAGAATCTGTGTATGGATCTTTTTTCTTTTCTTTTGGCACCAAAATGAACTTAACTTAGAATTATGTTTTTCAGTAAGTGTTTAAAACGTACTTGTATGCTTAACAGGGTGAAGTACACCAAAAACATAGAAACAAAACAAAATGGGCTGGTGTTCAGCCTGACAATGAAGTGACATTTAAGAATCCTCATCCCGCATCAGAGGGCCTGGGTCCTGTACCTTGCTGCGGCTACTGGCACCAGCTGTTCTGCTAATACACGCCCTGGCAGGCAGCACTGATGGCTTAATCGATGTGGTCCCTGCAGCCCTTGTGGAAGGCCTGGGTGGATTTGCTAGTGTCTAGCTTTAGCTCCCATCAGCTCTGCCTATTGCAAGCATTTGGGGAGTGAACCACTAGAAGTGAGCACTCTTTCTCTTTCCTTTCCGAATAAATAAATAGAAAATGACTTGTTTTTTTTTTTTAATTAAAGGAAGTGTTTAACAATATTACACCAAAAGTAAAATGAAAAAATAGAAAATTAGCAAAAATAATGACAATGCGTTAAACACATCTAGATGTTATAGTGAATAAGAAAATGATGACCAAAAGAAATATAAGCGACAGAAATGGAATAGAAAATATAATCCCCTTGTGCTCCTACTATTAAGGATCAGATAAATAAAAGCTAAATATATAACCTTCTAAATACTGTGCGAACCTAGAAAAGCTATAGCGTTCCTAGGAAAGGATTCAGTGCAGCAGGAATCTGAGTGCCTTTAAAGCACGTGAACAAGAGAACAGAGAATACGCTGCACTATACTTAACACCATTAAATATCATACACTAGAGAAAAAGCAAATTATAAAGAAATAGCCACTATTAACAACTTTTTAACAATTTGTTTATTTTTATTGGAAAATCAGATTTACAGAGAGAAGGAGACAGAAAGATCTTCCATCCACTGGTTCACTCCCCAAGTGACTACACTGGCCAGAGCTGAGCTGATCCAAAGTCAGGAGCCAGGAGCTTCTTCTGGGTCTCCCACGCATATGGGTGCAGGATTCCAAGGCTTTGGACCATTCTCTACTGCCTTCCCATGCCACAGGCAGGGAACTGGATGGGAAGTGGAACAGCCAGGATCCAAACTAGCACCCATATTGAATCCCAGTGTGTGCAGGGTGAGGACTTTAGCCACTAGGCTATTGCACTGGGCCCTATATAATAACTTGTATAGAAAATGTAAAGATACTGTGATGAATGGACTATATGCAAGTATGTCTGTATAAACTTCAAAAAGTTAGTAGAAACGGAACTGAGGAATTTTTATTTTAATGTAGAGTGTTAAAATCTATACATAGCTTTTTTATAATACAGATTTTTTTCACAAAGTTTTTTAAAAACCCTCACACATATGGATTTCAGTATTTTTGCACCAAAGCAAATGTCCTTTAACTTCATTTCCCATGAAATTTCTGATGTTTATAAATATGTATCAATATAGCTATGAATAAGGATAACAAATCAAGGATGGTGGCGATCTCTAGGGTAGAGATCCTGGGAAATGGAATTAGGAAAAAATACACAGCAAATTGCAATCTTTTTCTAATTTAATTCCCTGTACTTTTTTCCCCAACATGGCTGAGATGAAGTGTGTTGTCAAGAAAGCTAAATGGAGGTAGGCATTCAGATGGTTGAGTTACCTGCCACCCCCATGGCAGTGCTTGGGTTCCGTTCCTGACTGCAGGCTGTTGACTCCAGCTTCCTGCCAGTGCAGGCCATGGGAGGACGCCCGGATGGCTCCAGTGCCCTAGCCTGGCTTAGGTTCCCAGCTCCCGGCTACGCTGAACAGCCCGAGCCTCTGCAGGCCTTTGCAGAGTGAACCACGAATGGCAGCTCTCTGTGTCATTCTGCTGCTCAAATGGATATAAATTTTTTAAATAAATTAAAGCAAGGCAAATGGCACCCATTTCTAAGGCTTTGTGATATCTTTCTCAAAGATCTGCTTCACAGACTTAGGTATTTAGGCTTACAGAGGAAGGCATGCAGATTCTTGTTCTCTTGAAAGTCAAGTTTTTTCCTCCATTCTAGAAGGTTGAGGAATTTTTTTCCTCCTTTGTAACTCAAAATTTTACCAAAATGTGTCTCACTGTGGGTCTTGTTTTGCTGACTATTTCTAAAACATGGTGATAAACTGTCTTGGTTTCTATTAGCATTTTCTTGTTCTGCTTTAACACTAACAGTAAATCCATGTACTAAAAACAACAACGAAAAAAAGCATACTCTTTACTTTTTCAAGAACATGTTGTCTCCTTAAAAATATATATATATTCCTACTTAAAATGAGATGTGGAAAGTGCCTAAGCTGAAATGAGTTGTACATAATTTCCTCTCAGTATAGCTTCTAGTTCTCTTACAAATCCTGTGTCAAAGTCATCATGTCTTTTTCCTTTTGCTTTTTCACACCCACTGTGCAGTAATGGGTTCTGCTTACAAAAGCAGCCTAGGAGGTCGCAGGCAGAGAATGGCACCCAGGTGCCTCTCAAGTTTTCTTTTGTTGTGTTCATATTTTAAGAAACCATTGCTTACTGAAACTTTTTGGCCCTGGCACATTGAAAGCAACAAGTCAAAGGGTTCCTGCATTGCAAGATGATTTTTCATCTAAAGAAACGCATAGAACTCAACACACTCTCTTGTTGCACATTCATAAAGCAAGTGTGCTTGAAATTAGACTCTTATATGATGGAATAAGGTTTATTCAGGAAAGATACAATAAAAGTAATGTTGAAAATAATGCAATAGCCATAACAAGACAAAGCAAACTCAGATAACCTCTTTAAACAGTCTAAGAAGTGTATCCAAGAAGAGGCGCAAATAGCCAATTAATACGTGAAAAGATGCTCCATGTCATTTAGCCATCAGCAAAATTCTAGTCAGAAACACAGTGAGATACACTGCTTTCCTAGGTAGCCAGATAGAATAGTAACTACAACAGTTGCAGTGTCAGCAAGGATGTGGAGCGAGTGCAGCCCTTGAGCACAGACTGTAAAAAAGTGTGACCGCTTTGGCAGACAGTCTTGGGAGTTCCTCAAAATGCTAAGAAAAAAATAGTTACCATATAAACAAATAATCACCAGTTAGAAATTGGATGACATTTCGCTTACAATAACAACAAAATACTTGGAATAATTTGCAAAGAAATACACAAATGTGTAGAAGCAACCTCTCCTAAAGATACAGTAGTAAGTTTTGATTATTCTTTCTTGTTTTTTCTGTACACATACCTGCAAATATATAAATTCTCCATTTTGACTGCAATTACAGTGAGGGGAGAGTCATTTTTCCAAGGTTCAGAAAATTCAGAGAAAAAAAACCAAAACACTCCTTTTAGTTTTACTTTATTTACTGTTTTCTAATAAGCCGGTCTATGAAAAGAACTATTATTCTTTTGACCTTTTGATAACAGACATCCTAATGTGTGTGAAGTGAAATCATATAGAGGTTCTGATTTGCATTTTCTTGATGATTAATCATATACCTCTTCATCTGTATGTCTTCTTCAGAGAAATCTTTATTCAGATACCTAGCCCATATTGTTTAAAGATTCACTTATTTTTATTGGGAAGGCAAATTTACAGAGAGAAAGACAGAAAGATTTTCAGTCTGCTACTTCCCTCCCCAAATGGTCGCAACAGCCAGAGCTGAGCTGATGTGATGCCAGGAGTCAGAGCTGAGCTGATCTGATGCCAGGAGTCAGGAGCCTCTTCTGTGTCTGCCATGCAGGAACAGGGTCCCAAGGCTTTGGGCCATCCTCCATTGCTTTCCCAGGCCACAAGCAGGGAGCTGGATGGGAAGTGGGGCAGCTAGGAAATGAACAAGCGCCTTTATGGGATGCCAGCGCTTGCAGGCTGAGGATTAGCCAAATGAGCTATCACACCAGTCCCTCTTTAGCCTTTTTTTAAATTGTTGTTTGTTTTTCCACTATTGAGTTGCCTGAGCTCTTCATTAATTTGAATATTATTACCTTTTACCAGACTTGCAAATGTCTTTTCCCAATCTAAAAGACAGCTGACTGATTGTATCATTTCACTCTCTCTGTCTCTCTGTCTCTCTGTCTCTCTGTCTCTCTCTCTCTCCTGAGGTGGAAGGAAGAAGAAAAGCAGCAAGAAAGGGAGGAAAAGGAAAGGAAGGAAGGAAGGAAAGCAGGAATGACAGGACAGAGAGCTTCCATCCACTTTTTCACTCCCCAAATGTCCACAATAGCTGGGCTAGGGTGGGCCCTGGGGAGAAGCTGGGAACGCAGTCTGAGTCTCATCTGGATTCTAGGCATCACCACTGCCTCCCTGGATCTGCATGGTGGGACGCTTCAGTCTGACCATGCACTGGGAACCAAACCCAGGCACTCATTGTGGGATGTGGATGCCAGCCTAAATGCCTGCTGCCCAGAAATCTCTTAGATTGATGCAATCCTACATACTTTTACTTTTATGGCCTGAATTATTGGTATAATATACACACACACATATATTGTGTATATATATAGCCATTTATATTTATATATATAAATGGCTGCCAAGGTCAATATCCAGGAGCTTTCTCCCATGTTTGCTTTGAGGAGTTTTATGGTATTTTATCCATTTTGAGTTGATATTTGTAAGTGATGTAAGATCCATGCCCGGTTAATTCTTATGCCTGTAGAAACTAAGTTCTGTGAGCACCATTTGTCAAAGAGTCGCTCCATTGCCCCATTTTGTCATCTTAATGCCACTGTCAAAAATTAATTAGTCATATTTCTGACTTTTTGTTTTGTCTCACTGGTCTATATATCTGTTTCAATGCCAGTACCATGCCATTAAGAAAAAGAAACTCCTTATACATTATTGGTTGGAATGTAACTGCTACATTATGAAAAACAATTGACAATTTAGAAGAAGTTAAAAATAGAGCTACCATACAACCCAGAGATCCTTCTAGGTGTATAAGCAAAGGAAATGTCATAGGCATGCATACTTACTTGTTCACTGCAGCATAATCCCTACAGCTAAGATGAGGAAACAGAGCAAGTGTCATCAGTGGACAAATGATTTTTTTTTTAAAAAACCTATGGTATATATTTACAGTGGTATATTATGCAGCTCCCATCACCAAGAAATAAGAGTTTGCCATTTGCTACAACATGAATGAGCCTGAAGGAACATTATTCTAAGTGCAATAAGCCAGACCCAGGAAGATAAATATTGCATAATCTCACTGAGGTGTGAAATTGTTTTTTCCAAGTCAAAATTACAGAGAAAAGAACAAAACAATATAGTTACTGGTAGCAGGCAGAGGAAGAAAACAGGGAGATGCAGATCAGGCGATAGCAGACAGGTGGGATGGCAAAGTCTGGAGGCCAACTGGACAACAAACGACCACAGGTGATACAATTGGACTGTAGACAAGCTTTCTACCAGATGAGTACATTCTAACTGCTCTTGGCACAAAAAGAAAATGACTCATATCAAAACCCTTTCACTCGCTATAAGAGTACTTCAACAATTTGGTGGAAATATGAATTTTTTGGTGTAAAACAGTTTTGAAATTCATGTGTGCAAGCAGTCTCCCAAAAGGTCATTTAAAATGTATTGTATGGAAACACTTTGCAAGGATTTAAAAACCCTCAGGAAGAGGAAGAAAGTCCACTCGGAGATCTGAAATTCTCTTTAAAATATTTGTATAGCATCCTTCCTGGATACAGACTAATGTGGATTCAACAGGTACTTGTCTTTTCTCCTCCAGTCTCACTGTTCGAAACCAGGACCAGAGACTCACCACAGCTTCCCGTGAATTCAGAGTGGCAGAACTCCCACCCTGTGAAGAAAGGTGAGGTCTCATGCCTATTGAGAAAGTTAAACTTGCTCTTTTTTTTCTCTCTCTCACTGTAATTTGCAATTTTGTAATATCAAATCATATTGTGGCAGCCCATTTCCCCTCTGTGTAAACTCCTTTTTAACTTAATGTACAAAGGGGAAATAAGTCAGTTCCATTATCCACCCAATCCCTTGCTACTAATAAATATAAATGAATGTTTCTAGACAAGACAGATGATGTTACTTTATTTTAATACATATAATTTGCTCAGCAAAATTAAAGACCACATGTTTGTCTTTAATTTTAGCATGTTTGGTTTTCAGGAGAGTTTAAGAGACCCGTTTCTTCTACTAGAAACGCAGATTACAGAGGAGGAAAAGCAAGAGACAAAGAGATCTTTCATTTGCTGTTTTACTTCCCCAGATGCCCACAACAGCCAGGGCTAGACCAGGCCAGAGCCAGGAGCTTGGACTGTTACCCAGGTCTTCCACATGAGTGCAGGAACCCAAGTACTTGGGTCATCATCAGCTGCCTCTCAGGTAGCTGGGTTGGAAACCAAAGTGCTGGAACTCCATCTGGCACGCTGATACAAGATGTGGATTTTGTCAGTGGCAGCCAATGCTGTTGTGGCACATTGCTCACGTTCATGCTTTTCTTATGGCAAATTTATACTACATAATCATTTTCTAAGTATTCTGAGGGTGAGGGAGTCACCGAGTTTACATATTACTTATCTTTGTAAATTGCCTTTTTTTCTTCTTGTATTATCAGTTGATTTACCTTCTCTTAGTTATACTTGTTCTTGGGATTATGTCTTTTTTTTTTTTTAATATTGCTTACATGGTTGAGTGGGATGCATGTGCATTGGGCCTCATTAGGATGGGGAGGGTTGAGATATGGAGGAAGGTGAGTGGGACAAATGTTTCTGTTTTTTTGTTTGTTTTTCTCCTGTGTCTGCAGAGAGGGAAGGCGAGGGATACTCCTAGCAGTCAGACTATATCAATATAGGGGATAGTCATTTGATGATGCCTTGGAGTTCCTGATGGGAGAAAAATGTTTCAAGAGTGTTACTTGGATGGTTCTTAAATGTTGTCAGCTTCATTGCACCAGGGTTAAGAAAATCTTATCAAGGTTTACTGGTTGACGGCATCCACGTTAGTGCATCCACAGACCCAGACATTTGCTGTAAAGCTTGGCCAGGAGAGTTGTTCAACCTTTTCTACTTTCCATCCTCTGACGAGATGCTCTACCTCCTCTGCTGGCCTAGCTGAGCTGTCCACTGTGTGCAGCTGGGCATGCTATCTACTGGGTGGACAGCATGCCCAGCTGCACACAGCATACTGAGGAGGTCCAGTCCTGACACGTACATTCCAAGGTCAGACCACATTTATTGTGATTTTCCCTGTGGCCAGGTTTTGAGTTCAACAACCTAGTTGGGGAATCCCTAAAGAAATCTTACCTGTGTACACCAGCAATTGCAGGGTCAGGTTTGATCTATCAACCAGCTATCCCATTTCCTGGTGGTTGCAACTGTCTGGTGAATTCCATCCCCAGCCTCATCTCTTGCCTATTGAAGATCAACCAAATATGAGCTGTTCATCTACAAGAAAACCAAACTGAAATGAAGCTGCCCACTGAAAAGAGAGCCGGTGGAAACAACAGCCAGATGTAGAGTACAGAAGAATTCAGGTGTTAGAATGAACCACAAGACATTTTATGTAAAGAAATGAAAGTTAAATTCTCAAAAACAAGTCAGAAAAATTCAGCTACCAAAGCCGGTCCAGGAAGCTGTGACACTGCTCAGTTTGCATGATGTCCTGCTGGGGAAACTGTACTTAAGATTGCTTGGCATGTTTTGTTCTTAATTTTTTTTTAATTAATTAATTTGTTATTTATTTTTTATTTTACTATCCACTGATACAGTTCCCGAGGCTCTGGGATTTCCCTTGCCTTCTCTACCTTACCTTACCACTTCCCCGCTGATTTCCTCCATATCATTATAATAGTATGGTCCTTCACAGTCAGTCTTAAGTCCATCATTCTGCTATTCAAGGGTACCCTGACATTGTAGGCATGGACGGTTTTCTTCTTAAAATAAAATTCACAAACATCAAGCCATGTGAAAGCTTGCAAATCAGTGGATTTTAGTATATTCATAATATTACTACACTACAAAAAGAAACACCATACCTGTTAGCAATGTACGTGTTGTTTACCTGAGAATGTGAACCTACCATTGTCTCAAAAATTTTTAAAAAGTAAGAAAACAGTTATATGTGGTTGTCAAAAGATAAACAATATTTAAATTAAAAAGTAATCTGTCTTCTAAGAGTCTAACACTTTGGGGAGATTTTTTTTTTTTCATTGAAAGAGCAGAGTTACAGAGACAGAGTCTGCTGTTTCTATCCCCAGATGGCCAGAGTTGAGCTGATCCAAAGCCAGGAGCCAAGAGCCTCATTAGGATCTCCCATATGGGTACAGGGTTCCAAAGCCATGGACCATCTTCCAGTGCTTTCCCACAGCATAAGCAGGGAGCAGATCAGAAGTGGAGCAGCTAGAACTTGAACCAATGCCTATATGGGATGCCAGTGCCACAGCAAGAGGCCTAGCTTGCTATGCCACTGTACTGGCCCCTAATTTAACGTTCTTTGTTAATTACCAGGAAGATTCACTGAAAAGGGATAATGTGGAAATCATAAAAATAAAAAATCATTGGCCAGGGATGGACATTTGGCCTAGTGGTGAAGACGCAGTTAGGATGCCTGCATCCCAACGGAAGTGCCTTGGGTCGAGCCCTGACTCCAGCTCCTGATTGCAGCTTCCTGCTATGCTTGTATTGCTTCTATGAAAACCTGCATCTAACCATTTGAAAAGACATGCTTCTCATGTATACATTAACTCAACCTTTTACAGTAATTGACCAAGTATCACCTCCTAAATGACTCAATAAATGTCTAATCATTATGAAATAAGCTAGCCTTTCTGCCTACCCTGGGAGGCATGCGGTCAAGCGCTGGGCTTCCAGACACACTTGTGGAGACTTAGACCGAAGTCCAGGCTGCTGGCTTTGGCCTACTACATTGGATGAGTGAAACAGCAGATGGAAAAACCTTTTTGTCATGCTATAAAATACTTCGTTTTTCTTTTTTTAAGGAAAGGGAGAGATATATGGGTTTTTTTTTTTTTTAAGAGAAGGGAGAAACTTATGGGATATATTTATCTGAGGACAGATGAATATCTAGTATATATAATATATGGGATATATTTATCCTTAAATAAATATATAACCCTAAATGTTTCTAATAGTGAAAAAGAAGAACCAATCATTACTGAACTAAATATCAAAATTAAGAATATGCACAAAGAAGGTGGGAAAAATATATATATTACATGTAATATCTAAACAGAAATTAATGAAATAAAAAACACATACAATGAAGATAACAAGGGAAAAGCTGATTCTTTAAAAAATATATACTAGGATTTCCTTTGTTGTGATTGGTCAAAAAACAGAAGTGTAATTTAAACAGTTAGGAATGAAAATGGAGATTTACTAGCTCTCTGGCAGAAATTATTAACATGATAACATTAGAAACAGATAATGCCAATGAACATGATCATTTAGATCCTGATCAAATTCTTAGATAGGAGGAAAATAGTAAAACGCATGCAAGAAGAAATCAAAGAACAGACCAGTCCTAGGGTTGCAGGTGGCAGGGAGAAGCAGCGACTATGACTGCGATGTCCTGGTTCATCAAGGTAAACGCGATGATGGCCACCCATCATTACTTGCATTTACCTGACTAACATTCCTTTCCCTTTGTCCAATTTTTTAAAATATAATATAGATACTGTCCGCTGTTGTTTGTGATGTTCAGCATTGCTAAGGCTGACTTAGAAGTGTCCTGAGTGTTTGTAGGGAGTTTGGGGTCAGATGATTGGGTGTTTTCCTTTCCTTTTGTAACTTCAGATTATTGCCAGAATATGTCCAGCCGTAAGCAAGTATGTTTTTAACAGTGATGTTAACAACTTGGTGTGTAAGCATTTGGTCAGTAGCCACACAACCAGGCAAATCAATTTGAAATGTGAACTTGTGTAGTTTCGCTGAAGACTTGAGGAAATGGGAATAATCTCCTCCTCTTCCCTTCTAATAGGGTCAAGTTCACATACTTTCGTTCTGGGAGTTGGGGGAAGATACAGTTCCCATGATGTAGCTCAGATTCACAACCAATAACACATCTCCTCTGCTCCCTTTCTTTTGGTCTCCTCTAAGCCCAAGTCCTACACTAGAGGAAGTCCATGCCTGGGCTCAATCCTTCGACAACTTGATGGTCACCCCAGCGGGAAGGAACGCCTTTCGGGAATTCCTCCGCACAGAATTCAGTGAAGAAAACATGCTTTTCTGGATGGCCTGTGAAGAACTGAAAAAAGAAACGAATAAAAGCGTTATTGAAGAGAAAGCCAGGATAATATATGAAGACTACATTTCTATTCTGTCTCCTAAAGAGGTGTGTTCCCACCTGTTGTTTTCTTCTGGGGTCCACTGTAGTCATAGCTACCCAAAAATGCTGAAAAGCATTCTATTCACCTTTACAACCAGGGTTCTAGAGATGGGCTCCAGATAACCCTCTGAAATCTGTGGGGAGAAAAATGCACCTTTTGGGAGTCTCCACACCTTTTCACTAGATTTTCCAGAATAGAGAGTCTAGACATCTCTCTAATAGCACTGTTTAGAGATATTGCACCATAAAGACATCTTAAACAATACACTATCCTGAGCCAAGTCTGTCCCAGGTATCTTTATGTTAGAGTTGCACATGGCTGATAGGAAAATGAGCTGCCAGCAGGTTCTCCAAGACATCCTTCGCCTATCAGAGAAATCATCAGAGTGAAACAGAGGCAAGTTTCCACCTTTCAGAGCTGTAGTTTCTTTAGATCCAAAGTCTGGGAGACTAGGTTGCTCTCAATTGTCGATGCTCTATGGGTTGAATGCTAAAAATCGCTTGTTAGTTCCTAGCATGTATTGCTAGGAATGCAAGGCTAATAAAGCAAGACCTCATGAGTCAAAAGGCTCCCCGAGAGGTGAGCAGACAGGTGATGCCCCCAGTTGGGTCAGTTCACCATTTGCATTGGGCTGGGGAGAAAGCTGTTCACAGTAGGACAAGCTCAGATTGAAGGGAAAAGGACTCTAGGAGGTCGCCAAGGGACTAATGACAATGCAAAGGAGATGAGCAGAAACAGTGACGAGGGCATCCCAAGAGAATTGGACTAGAAGAGCCAGGGATGAGAGTGTGCGACTGCAGGTACAGTAGGAGTAGAAATGCATCGTTGTGCCTGAAGAGGCCAGTGTCAACTAGACTCGTAGGGCTGGGTGGAAAGCAGGAGGAAATTTAGAGAGAGGATGGTTTGAGAGCACTGGAGAGGTTTGGCTGCCACGCTAAGGTTTTCTGATTTGATCCTAGATATCCTAGATATTTGATCTAGGGATATCCTAGAACTTTAGCCTGATAGAAGGAGGGCACTTTAAAAAGTTTGCAAAACAGTGGATTTAAAGGGTAAAGCGATATTGTCATCCAGGAATAATTTTCCAAATGTGTTTTCCATGACCTTTTGGAAAACTCCTTGTCTTATCACCTGTGCATTTTAAAAGATAAACATGGCAGCAGACCAGATTAGATCAGAAGCAGAGGACAGTGAGGGGACTAATTTAGTAACCAGCATGGTTAGCGTCAGGTAATTACGATGCCTCTGGTCTAAGCAGACTACCTGGTGGGGTATTTGGTTAAAACTGTGCAGACATGAAGGGGAGGAAGAGTAGGAGAAAAGCAGTAGGGCTCCATGTGGCATACCGAAGTTTGCATATAGGATGCTTAGTGAATGTACCTAAATAAAGTCTGGACAGCTATTTCCATGTGATATTCATAAAAAAAAAAATCAAGAGAATTTGTTCTTGCACTTATAGCTTCCACAGATTTTTGTTTTGTCATGATTTTCCTTTTCATTAGTATGTAGCTATCCTTGGTTATCCCTGGGGACTTGGTCCCAGCATTCCTTGCAGATAGCAACTCTAGATGTGCAAGTTCTTTGTTTGGAATGGCACAGTGTTTGCATATAATCTGCATACACCATCCTGTATATTTTTGTCATCCTTAAATTGCTTACAATACTTAATAGAAGTAAATGAGATGTGAAGGGTTGTTATGCTGTGTTCTGCAGGGACTAAAGACCAACATGCCTGTACATGCTCAGTACAGATGCTATTTTTAATATATTTTTGGTATTTTCAATTTGTGGAGGTGGAAGTTGCAAATACGAGGGCAAACTCTACAACTAAAGATGAAAAAATCTTAGCAAACTTATGACGTGAAAAAAAAGATCTGAAAATTAACCCTTTCCCCTCAAAGAAAAACATGTTACTTGAAATGTAAAACTTGGAGAAAAAAGTACATAGATTTAGGGGTCACATAAGCTTGGGCTCTAACCCCACTTTTCACTTTGCTGCGTGTTTCTTACCTGCTCTGCACCTGTTTCCTTCTGTGTGCAGATGGGATATCACACTTACCTGCAGATTGCGGAGGAATGGGAAGCTATCCATTAGTTGTTGGCAAATTGGCATAAACATAGGCAGTGCTCTTGTGGACCTAGGGGTCCAGCCTGGGTCCCCAGAGGCTTCAACCCAAGGAACAGTTGGCTCACAGAGAGAGTCTTCTTTGAAGGTCCTAAGGAATAATGTTCTGTTTGCACCTTAGCTGCTTGTGAACTGGAAGAATTTCTGTTTGCTGTAGCAACTTAGGCCCTTTTCCTAACAAGGGCAGAAACTCTCCTCCTTTTGGTCAGCGGTGGGTACTGACCATTCTTCTTTGTTCACAGACAGTCCTCACAAGCACTGACCCTTACATTCAGAAAGTGGATAGTGAGGATCACCTGGTGGCAAATGCTGCCTTAGGGAAAAGCTCAGGGCCACCTCTACCTCTTTGCTGTGGGGAATGACCTGAAGCAGAAATAGATTCAATCAGGTAAGATTCAGGGAAAGGGTGCTTAACAAAGACAGGATAAGTCTAGCTGAAGGCTGAAATGGCTCAGAATGACTCTTGCATGAAATGGTGTGGTGGAGCTGGAGAACTGGCGGAAGCCATCCACTGAAGCCTTAGAAACTCATCCTTAGGAAAAAGCTTTGGACTGGATTCTGAGCACACTGACAAGCCAGGGCAAGGGCTGAAGCTGGGGCATCAGGATGATGATCTCGCCTTAGAGTTCCTAGCCAAGCCATGGAGTGTAGAGAGCAGGCAAGTAGGAGGCTATTGGGCAAATCCAGCAGGAAATGGTAAGCGACCTCCACAAAGTCATGGCAGAGAGAAGGGAAGAGGTGGACAGATTTAGAGTGTTGAGGTTCGGTCAATGGGACTTTTTGACGCAACAGACAACCACAGGGAGAAGGAAGCATAAGGAGGAATCTGAATTGGGTAGGGATAGATTATTTCATTCCTTCCTAAACTGGACAGATGTGAAGATACCAGGACTCAGCTTTGGATGCGTCAGGTTTGAGGTGTCTGAGGGTAAGTCAGATCTTCTGGGAGAAGGCGGCGATACGCAGAGAACTTCAGAAATTCAAGTATAAGGTGCATTGATTTGGTGCATGTGAGGTGTCTCCAAAAAGTTTACAGGAAAATGCACATTATGAAAAAGTACAGATTTCAGAATTTTTTCCACTAAAAACAAACGTAGCTTTTCATTCCATAAACTGGAAGGCCCACACATGCAACAGGAAAGATAGATTATTGAAGTGAAGATTTAAGTGAATGACTTAGTAATTTTGGTTTTAGTCTTACATTATAGTACATTCACCGCATGGTAGTAGAGCCCACATCGCCAACTGGAGCAGAGATGATCCAGCTGAAGTTCCTTACGCAGGAGAGACGTGCGAGTTCATCTTCACTGCACTGGCCTGCATTTCTGTCCATTTGTTGTCTGCAGAGACTGAACCCTGTGACGTGCTCTGGGCTGAGATGGTCGTGTCCAGGATGAACAAAACATCTGGGCAATAAAAGCTTCCATTTCCCAAGGTCTGCTCAATGGATTCCAAACGCATTGGGAAAATTCTCATGAAAAAAACATATAGAAACTACTGTCCTCCTCATGCCACTTTACAGGAGGAGCGCATTAGGACAAGGAGTTTACTATGCCCAAAGCCCATAAGTCAGCAGTGACAGAGCTGGGATTTAAACATAGGAGCACCTGTTGCCCATAAGACATTTCAGAGCTGTGCGCAAGTGCTCCATTCCCAGAAATCTGTCACTGGACCCTGGCTGGACAGAAGCCTGGGACTTCGGTCCTTGTGTTATTAAGAAATTAGCAAGAGGTAAATCTGTGCACGCCACTCTCTTTTCCTTAAAAGAATGTTGTGGTTTTCTGAATCAGTGGGATCTGTGCCAGCATAACTTCAAATTTGTGAGAACTACAAATTCTCAAGACCCTCCCTCAGCCCCCACAGTCAGATGCTGGCGCTAGCTCGGCCCTCCAGCAACTGCTGAGGCCCGAGAAATCTAAAGATGATGCCTCTTGGCGATGTGTTTGGTTTCTCTTTAGCAATCTGGATTTTTGAAGGACTTTGGCTTGGAACGTTTGAAAAGGAGAACAAGGTAACGGGAGTTTGAAATGAATTGACCAAGAGAAGAATCTAATGCAGCTCTTGTTTCTTTCTTTTGGCAGGTCAGCTTGGACTCCCGGGTCAGAGAAGTCATCAACAGGAACATGGTGGAGCCATCGCAACACATATTTGATGATGCTCAACTCCAGATTTATACCCTAATGCACAGAGACTCATACCCACGGTTCATGAACTCTGCTCTTTATAAGGACTTGCTTCAGTCCTTAGCGGAGAAATCAGTCGAAGCATAAGCATTTTAAAATAATATTTATTATTAATAAAATAATAAAACAGTTGCTCATGGACTGCACCTAGCACGGGGAACTTAGCAGTAGTGCCATCTGCTGGAGTAACAACTGTTGTGGAGTAACAACAGAAGCTTCCTGTGACAGCTCTATATTCACAGTGTAAACTGCAGCCACCATTAGCGATACTTTCGGAAAAACAGAAATTCAGCTGTTTTAGAGTGTATTTTACAGTAACAGTAGTATGTTCTCAATGGTAAGGGATACACCGAAAGATGCCCTACTGCCTGGAGCATGTACATCCAGAGGAGCAAATAGGACCATTTTGTTTTGCATGAGATCAATAACTGATTACTCTCCCCTCAAAGAACACATGTTCAAGTGCTCCTTAGCTACCTACCCCTTCCTTCCATCACTTACCAGTGCCATCCTGGTACCTGAACTCACATTTTATAAAGATGTGACCATCTGCTTTAAAACTGGTATGCCACCGATGTTACAGTATGTGTGTGTTTGCAGACACATTGATGTGTGTATAGCTCTACACGGTCACAGTGAAGCACTGTGTTCTTAGCTGAGTCAGTTTCAAATGTCTGGTAAGGGAACAGGGCTTAGAAAATTCTTTTCTGGAAAACTTAACATTATTTTGTCAATCTAAAAGATGAATGTTAAAATTCATGATTTGGTCTTGTTCAGCCTGTACTTCAAAACAAGTACATTTTCATTTTTATTACCAAGAGATATGGGCATTTTCACTATTTACAAAAATAAAGCACAAGAATTTTATCTCAGTCCTATTTTGCTGTGTAAAAATTGGGGAAATATAAGGTTAAGCAGGTTGGAATGCATGCAAGTTACATGCAGCCTATCTTTTAGCCCCTTTTAGACTAACACTCTTTAGATCATGGTAATTTTATCATATGTAAATGGCATAACTTCATGGCTTATGAGTGAAAATGATGTGTAAATCTCAAACTCCTTGAAATAACCATCTGTCTTGAACTGGAAAGATGTACAAAATCTGGAACGTGAGCAGGTTAGAAATTAATTTGCAAGAAACCTATACATCATAAGGGATTTGCTCTCCTCTTGCTCATGTCCTTCACCTGATCCTTCAACAGCCTGATTGGTCTCCCCACTTAATTCAAGTTCCATCCCTAAGGCCCTCTCCCTCTCTCAGCAAACCATCTCACTTCTTCCTTCACTATGAAAATTGTGCCTCCAATTTCCCTCAACTTATGCAACCTATGAATGCATATAGATGAGCATCTGTTCTCATTTCCTTCAACCCCGTTCCACAAAATAAGTTATTCTTTCCTTCTTTTCCAGATAAAAATCCCTTACATGGGCTTTGATTTCATATCTGCTGATTTTTAACTGAACCAAGAGGGTTATTAAGTCATAAATCCAATCCTCTAGTAGTTAATATTCAAGTGAGGAAGACAGACATTTCAATAGCAACTGTAGGGTAGTATAGTAGATTCCAAAAAGCGGTAGACAGTTATAGGAGCCTCGAAACAATATGGGAAGCTAATAGTGTAGGTAATCACTAAAGCCAAGAAACAAAACACAGAAGACTGTATGTACTTCAAAGTGCTGGGGACGCAAGGGAACATACCCACAACTAAGTGATCAAAATGTGTCCAGTCATGGACATGCTGAGTGAAGGGACTATAATACAATAAAAAGAGAGGTCAAAAAACAAGCTAGGGGAGGACTGGGTGGTCAAGATTCCAAGCTGCAGCATCAATTTGAGATTTTCAGCACACCGACTGCTGTCATCACTGGGAGAATTAGAGCATGAGAAAGGAGCTCTGAGGATAACCCCGGGTAAGGAAGAAGCAAGGCACAAGAGTGTCGGGAGATTTAGAAGGCTTCGTCGTCTCATACAGGGAGTCAGATGTGTGGGAAGGTGGCAGGGTCTTCAAGGAGGCATGAGAGGTCACTGAACAGATCTCAACAAATTTAATACTGAAATCATCCCAAGTGTCATTTCTGATCACAATGATATTAAACTAAAAATCAAAGTATTCAAACCAATTCTGGGAGGTGATGGGAATGGTCTTCAACAGTCTCTAAGGGCTTGTGAAGGACTAGGCAACCAATTGTGCTTACTGAATCTAAACAACAAAATATACATTTATAAAACAGTCTTTGTCAGTGAAGATAGTACTGCCTTACACAAGTCAAACAGTAAAGCTGTGGATTTGGGTGTTTTTTTGTTGTCATTGTGGCTAATGAACTTGGAGCTAACCAATTTAAGCTTGCTTTCCTGATGTGGGTACAAAATTGTGAACCTATATAGAATATAACCAAATAGTGGGTGGTTTTGGTTTTTTGTTGTTGTTTTGTTTTTTTAGTATTGTTGACTTAATTCCATGGGGGATGAAACTGTGGACTTAACATTATAGTACACCTGTTTGGATTAACTATCCCATAGAAGTATATTGCAAAGGCAAATAAACAGGCGCTAAATGTGATTAGCTCAAGAATGCAAAGCCTAAATTTAAAAATTTTAATTACTTAGTTAAACACAAGTTTTTTTTTTAAATGGGAAGATGATCAGCTAGCATTTGATCTGTTGAATCTGCTTTAATTAAAAAAAAAAAAAATTGAGGGACATAATGGCCATCCATCTCCCTCTCCGTGGTAAGCCTCATGGTGACCAACAAAAAAATTACCTGTGGAAAATGGACGGAATAAAAAACATTCAAAGCACATCACTATAAAAAAAGTCAACTAACTATAAAAGAAGACAGGAAAAGTAACAGAGCGCCAAGACAGAAAACAATCAACAAGAAAGCAAAACAAATACTGTGCTATTAACATTTACTTTAAATGCAAGTAGATTCAACTTCCCAATCAAGAGGCAGAGTGCTTGAATAGATTTTTTAAAAATCTAAACTCTCTATGCTGTTAGGTGTACATAAGACACTCCTTTGTTTTATTTTGATGATGTTTCTGTAGTTGACCAGAGTGACAAGTATCAAGGGTTAGGGAAAAGTGGATGAGACCATTGTTCCCAAATTTTCTTTTTCTTCCTTCTGTATCTGGTGGGAACGGGGAGATGAGGAAAGAAGTGGCACCTAGCCTCCCAACAGCCTCAGCACCAAGGGATAGGGAACAGCCACCCAATGTCATCCCTGGGACCCCAATGTAGAGCATGCTCTGAGAGTTCTGCTCAAGGTTTTGATAGTTTTTGCCCAGGTATTTGCTGTCAACACTTGGCTGTGATAGTTGTTAAATTTGTTCTGCCCTCCTTCCTCTGCTGTGGTACCAGACATCCTCTGCATGCTTCAGTGGACTGCCAGATCCTTCATGTGTATCGACATGCTGTCCATTGCTCCATCATATCCACTGAGAAGGCCCAACTCTGAAACACTCTACAGTTAGTTCACGGAGCCTGTGATTCACCCCATGTTTTGGGGTTCTGAGTCCAGCAGTTCAGTTGGGAGGATCCCCAAAGAGACCTTATCTGAAGTGATCCCAGACCTAACTTTTATGTATGCTTGCTAGTAGGAGTCTAGCCTAGTCTGTTACCATTGTCAGCCTATGTCCACACTAGTAGTTACAACTGCTGGGTCCAGTCCAATCCAGCCCACTACACACCTGGCCCTTACATACTCTAGCAGAAGATGCAGCCTAGTCAGAGCAACCCCAGTAATCCCCTCCAGGCCTACCCTCTGCCCTGGTTTCTGCGCTTGCCAGGATATGCAACGGATTAGTCCAGTCTTTCCCACATCTCATTCAGCTCTCACATATCATTGAGCATTGGAGCCTAGTTCAACCCAGCAAAACCCAAACCCACTATCCACCCCACATTCATGCCAATGGGTGCTATGGCCTGTCTAGCCAGCTATTTCCCTAACCCTGGTTCTCATGCTCAGCAGTGAGAGAAATGCCCAGTTTCCCTACTGGACCCACTCCCAGTCCTGGATCTTGAACTTTCCAGATGATTCTGCAGTCTAGTTTGACAGAATTTGTCTCCAGTCCCAGCACTTGCCAGCTGATGTTGCAGTCAAGCCCAATCAGCCTGCACTTACACTCTGGCTTATGCATGCACCAGTGGATATAGTTGGTTAGTTCACCCTCACTCTCCTAACCCAGTTCATATGCAGACCAACAGATATTGTAGCCCTGTCCAGCCTGGTCTGCTCCTAATTGCAGTTTTCACATTCTCCAGTGGGAGCAGTGTCCCAGTAGGGGAACTCGCACTGCCCTCCTACCAGTCTTGCACCTTTTCTCCCAGGTCTCACATCTATTGGTGGATGCTGCAGCCCAATTTGGCATAGTCCAATCTCACCTCAGCATTTGCTGGCAGATGCTATAGCCTCAAGCAGCCCAGTCTTTGCCTGACTGCTGCTCATGCTGGTGGGTGCTACAGTTTAGCCCAGCCTAGTCAGCCCCAAGTCCCGGCCCTGATATGAAGTGGCTGGTGTTGTGGCCCAAGCCAGTCTTGCATCCTGTCTTCCTTCTGATATCTACCAGTGAGTACCATGAAGTGGCCCAGCCTGGCACGGCCGCAGACCTGACTCACGTATGCAGGTGGGTACTGTAACCATGCCTGGTCTGTGCTGCTCACCGTCTTGGTTCTTGAGCTCACCTGCAGGGATTGTGTTGTGACAGAGGAGTTCCCCAAGCTCCTCTCTCCATTCTCCCAGTGGCAGATCATGCACACTGGTGGTCCTTGCCTATAATTACTTAGTCTACCTCCTGTCCTGGCAGGAACAGTGACCTTGCCCAACTGGCCCACAACCATTCCGGTTTTTACTGTTGGTTGGGTGTTATAGCCCAGCCACCACAACTAGTCCACAGCCAGACACAGCTCTCATGTGGATCAGTGAGAGCTGAAACCTAGCCCAGCCCATCCTACACCCACCCGGCTTTCAAGAACACCAGTGTGTGCTGCAGTCTAGCCCAGTCTAGCCCACCCCAGACCAAATTCACACCCATGCCAAGGGACACTGCAACCATGTCCAGCCCAGATTGTTGCCCCCCTATTCTGGCTCTTGCACTCAAGAGTGGAAACCACACCCAGCCAGGGCATCCCCTTAACTCCCCAACGAGGCCTGTTCCCATGTTAAATCTTGTGTGTACTACTGGTGGCTCTGACTAGCTCAACATAGCCCATTCCCTGTCTTGATCTTTGCCAACAGGGGCTATAGCCTAATCTCTCCTGGCCAGCCCCCAGTCCCAGCTCTTCATTGGCAGGTGATGCAGCATAGCCCTGCTATGCAGGGTCCCAAGGCTTTGGGCTGTCCTCAACTACTTTCCCAGGCCACAAGCAGGGAGCTGGATGGGAAGTGTGGCCGCCGGGATTAGAACCAGCGTCCATGTGGGATCCCTGCCTGTTCAAGGTGAGGATTTCAGCCACTAGGCCACCACACTGGGCCCTGACCCACAACTTTAACAGAAACCTTAATATACTCCCCCAGAACTCTTTTCTTCTGTAGATTAACAGCAAATTGTTACAGTGCTGTCATAGTTTTTAACAATCTGATACTAAACATTCCTGTTACTTAACTCAAATATTCATTCAAAACAATTTAGCATTTTTCCAGTTACTTATGATAGAAAACTACCTTAAAATCACTCAAGTAGTAAGCAAACTGTTTTGCTTTCATAATAAGAATTCTATGGCAGTGCTAATATCCACATTGCTCAATTTGATATTGTCAAGGCCTTCTTCATCCCAGTTTCCCTCCATTTCACACAGCGTATGATATTGCTTCTATCTGTACAAGCATAGGCAAACTGAAGCAGGAAGATCAGCTATCTTTGAAACATACACTAGGAGCTGGCATGCTAGTATAGCGTGCTAATCACCCACCTGCAGTGCCAGCAACCCATTAGGACATTAGTTTATGTCCCAGCTGCTCCACTTCGGATCCAGCTCCTTCTTAGTGGCATAAGGAAGCAGTAGAATTTGGCTCAATTGCTTGGGCCCAGGAACCCATGTTGGAGACCTGGAGGAGGCTCCGGCTCCTGGATTTGCATCTGTGAACTAGCAGATCTCTTTCTCTCTGTAATTTCTGCCTTTCATATAAACATAAAAAAAAAGAGGGGGGGATACATACTAATATTAAGGAAGAAAAGGAGACCAGTAGGGTTGCATGGACGGGAAAAGTGTCCCCTAACACATCATATATGAAATGCATTTCTATTTTTGCAGTCATGTTCATTAAGAAAAAAAAAATTACCTTTGCTCTTGGTCATATTCATAAGAACTATTCCTTTTGACATACATAAATTTATTTATACTGTTCTTGAACACAACTCGGTCACTACTACTGAAAAATCTGTTGGTCACTGCAACTTTGAGTTTCAAGTGAAAAACAAACCTTTAAAACGAACATACTTTAAAAATATATATATATTTACTTATTTATTTTGATTTGAAAGGCAGAGAGGTCTTCCATCTGCTAGTTTACTTCCCAAATGGCCACACTGCTGAAACTGAGCTGAGCTGAGCTGAAGCTGGGAGCCAAGACCTTCTTCCTAGTCTCCCAAGTGGTACATGAGGCAAGGACCTGGGCATCCTCTGCCATTTTCCCAGGTCATGAGCAAACAGCTGAACTGGAAGTGGAACAGCCAGAACACAAATTGGTGCTAGCAGGTGGAGGATTAGTATGCGACATCACTGTAAAGTTCCAAAATCCTACTTTAAACATACTTAGCAGTTGAGTGAGGAGAGGAATTTTCTTCTTAAGGACATTATTCATTTGAGAAGGAGAGAGAGAAAAGGAAGGAGGGAGGGAAGAGGAGATAAAAAGAAAGGGAGAGAGAATGAGAGGAGAAGAGGGATCATCATCGGGCTAAAAGAGCTAAAACAGCCAAAAGAGCCAGGTCTAGGCCAGCAACTCCATCCATGCCTCCTGCACGAGTGGAAGGGGCCCAAGCAGGAATTGGATCAGAAACAAAGCACCAGTGACTAAAAAGAGCACTTCCATATGAGTTGTCATTGTTGCAAGCAGAGGTTTAACCCTTTTGCCACATAACACCTCCAAGACAGGGTTAATTTTTTGGGCCCAGCACAATGGCCTAGCAGCTAAAGTCCTCACCTTGAATGCACTAGGATCCCATATGGGTGCCAGTTCTAGTCCCAGCAGCTACACTTCCCTTCCAGCTCCCTGCCTGCTTGTGACCTGGGAAATCAGTCAAGGACGGCCCAAAGCCTTGGGATCCTGCACCCACGTGGGAGACCTGGAGGAAGTGTCTGGTTCCTGGCTCTGGTTCCGGCTGCTGTGGTCACTTGGGGAGTGAATCATTGAATGGAAGATCTTTCTCTCTGTCTCTCCTTCTCTGTATATCTGACTTTGCACTAAAAATAAAACAAAAAACCAAATATACATTTTAAAAAAGGGTTAATTTTTTAAAAAGAACAAAATAAGTTTCCATGTCTAAATAAAATAACAAATACATATTTAATAGCAATAAAATCTTTATTGAATTACAAATTTTAAATGGATCATTTAATTTAAAAGCGGGACTAATATTATTCTTAAATTCACTCTGTCAAAAACTTGTTCTTAAAATGATAAACGATTCATCGATGAATTGACAAAGCAGAGGCATACTGGTGGGCCCTTTCAGTCTTTTGTGTAACATATCCAAATGACTTAGAAGAATAAATGGGGAAAGGAGGGCAAGGAGCGCAAGCACCTAGCAAAGTTTTCCTTCAGACATCTGGAGAGAATGCAATTCCAGCACAAACACAGACGTTGCCATAGTAGCCTTCAGATGTGCTAGAACAACTAGGTGTACACCTTTTTCTTATTTCAACCCGAACAAATAGTACATACCTAAACAAAAAGTAACACCGTTAAGATGTGCATCATAAACCACTTGTCAATAGTCCATACTTTGTTGGCTCAACAATCTTAATCATCATCATGTAACAAAAAAGACAGCAAATAAAACTCAGGACAAAAATATTTTCTAGCAATATCTATATCAAAAGACGACAGCTTCAATGATTTAAACAATCTTTATGTTTAATCCTTGGTCAGTATAAATTTCCAAGTGAAAATCCAAGTCATGAGCTGTGATTAGTAACTACTCTAAGATACTAACATTTTCTTCTCAGTGTATCTTCCTAACAGGGGAGAGGGGACTCAGCAGAAGCTTTTTATTCTTTGCCTGGGAAGACATTTATGAAATTCCTACTAAACTGCAACAGTGGTTTTCTGTAAAACTAAAATATACTACCAACAGGTAAATAAACAAAATGATTGCAGAAGTTAATATTTCCAAAAGTAAAAACCATTAAGAACAACACACATGTACAGGGAATTACAAGAAATGATGATCACGGTTAGTTACAGATTTAAAGTAATATCTAATTATATCAGGCTGTGAATACAATTAAAATCAAATTTATATGCTACTTCAAATATTATGTACAATTTAGATAAGCTGCTCAAGTATTATTTGAATACACAGCATAGCTGGTAAACTTAAAATTATAATACCTTTTATCTTCCTTTAATATTTGGTAAGTAAATGTCAATATAATGTCAAAATCAATGTGATTTTCATTTATGGGTTAACAGAGTGACAGTAAATTTCTACTGTGTATACTTCAGACTGTAAAAGTTAAGGAACTTTTTTCTGAAGGAGAAAAAAAACCTTAAATTGCCAAAAGTTTAGTTGATGAAATTTTAATATCGACTTACATACAAAAATGAAAAACAAGCTTTAAAACAGAGGCATAGAATTATATGGTGTCCCTATTGATCGGACTACAAAAGGCGTTAAGGGGATGTTAACTTGAAAACAAAGATTGACCCAAGGGATTTAGGTTGCTTTAAAAATTTGTTTTGCAGGAAAACCAGCTGCTTGGCCTAGTTTTAAAGCTAATTACAAAAATCCATTTTCTTAATGGTCCAGATATTTTGCAAATTCTTCCAACTCAGCAGAACTGCCAAAAAAGAAGAAATATTTAATGAGACTTGTAAAACATTTTTTTAAAAAAGGCATTATTTTTCACACAAAATAGTCAACCTATGTTAAGCACTCAACTTTCCTAAAGGTAGTAAGAATATATAATTTAAAAACTAGTATAAAATATTTTTAACATTTCTTTAATTAAATATGCCTCAAAGTTTTCAGGTTAAAAAAATTAACAACTCTAAATTTGAGCTTCTAGAATACATTGATTGTATTAGGCATAAGCTTTCCAAATTTCTATATGAGATCTGCAACAAACTGCCTACACTCAAAACAAAATGCATTATACAAAACCACAATATTAACTATGAGAATCCACTGCACAAAACAATCTGAGAGAGCTATCTGGAAAAACCAAGTTTGTTTAAAATGACTAGAACAGAAAAGTTTACTGTCCCTCTCAGACCAATGTAAAAAATTTCTATCAATTCAGAACAGGAGACACTGCTTCCAACCATGAAGACAGTCCTGATAACCACATGAAATGAAATCTTTGTAAATTAATGGGTACTTGACCCCAAATAACCTTAAAGAGTGTCTAGCGCCAAATTCCCAAATTATATTCATGAAAGATATCAGACTCTCAATTTACCTCTGATTTCCATAAAATGCTTTAAACTTCAAGAATAGCTCAAATGAGTTTTAAACTGAAATGTGTATTTTATGTATAGCTAGGGGAAAAAGAACCTGTACAAGATTCACAAAAAACTAATAAAAAATAGCAATTTTGGGAACATTGACAATTCTCAGGTATTTTAAACATTATCTTTATGACAACTGAAATAGAGATAATACATGTAAAAATTAAGTTCAGTGATACTAAGTTAGAAAGTTGTTCAAAATAGCCCATGGCCCCAAAGCACCCCAGCTCCACATCTCTAACACTGCCATCTATATTAACAACTGAGTGTTCTGCAGGCTGACATGTAATTCTGTCAATTTCAAATTGTTTCTATAGCTAACAAAAGCACTCAAAAGTTAAGTAACATAAATTTGCTTGTGTGAAGGCTATACTCAAAAATATACACAGCAGGAACACTTGGTTCAGGTCTGGGAAATAAATTGTAAGTGCTAAAATAAACATTAAATGTGTATAATGTGAATCCAAAAGGATGCTATACCTTCCATCGATTTCCACACTCATTGCAGACTACAAATGTGGTCATCGGTTCATCAGCACTACGGGTTTGCACCTACAGCAAAATTAATACATATCAGATTACTATATTTAACATCATAAAAAATACAACCTAAATAAGAACATTCTATATCAAAATATATAGTAACACACTATACAATAACACAATGTATAAGCGCCAGAAACAAATCCAAATCAGGTAAGTAACATCAAAGGTGCACAGCAATATTTCCAAAATTCACTTTTACAAATCCTTTCTTTATTTATCTGCCATGTTTAATTTATCTCAGATATGTGGGAAAACCATCTAAAGTTACACATTTTTTATAAATGTCTAGTAAATATGAAAGAGCAGTCCAGAGTGAGAAGCCTGGAACATACAAATGTAAACATGTACCAATATCATCTTATTAACAAAAACACAGAACTAATACTTCAAGCTGACAAGCGTAACTGTCCCAACATTTTTTTTTTAAACTTAGGCAGCAAGAAAGTAAGAATATTACTCATCCTCTATAACCTAGGAACTTCCTATCAGATCTAATCCAAGCCAGTAATTAAAAACAAAGTATCTGTAGTCAAAAATGTTGCAAGAACATAATTTGTAATAATAGTACAAATACGGGAAACAACTTGAAATATTTAAGAGGGAAATACCAAGACATCCATTTGGTGGAATATTATTAAGATATGTACACTGTGGTGGTATAGAGGGTTGGATTGTGGTATACAAGGTTGGACTATGGCATAGCCAATAGGTGTCCCAGGGCTCTAATTTCAATCTAATTCCTGCTGGTGGCCTGTGAGAGCAGTGGAAGATGACACAGATGCTTGGGCCCTGTAGCCACATGGGAGACCCAGAGGAACCTGGCTTCAGCCTGGCCCAGCCCTGGTTGTGGCGGCCATTCAGCATGAAATAGTGGATGGAGGAATCTCTGTCTGTCCTCCCTCACTCCTGCAGCTGGGAGATGATAGCTCATGTGGTTTGATCCCACTAACCATGTGGGACACTGGGATTGAGTTTTTAGCTCCTGGCTTTGGCCTAGCCCTGCCCTGGCCGTTGCAGCCACTTGGAAAAGGAACAGTGGACAGGAGAGCTTTTTCCCACTGCCTTTCAAATAAAATAAGCAAACAAACAAACAAAATGTTTTAAAGAGTTTTATTTCCAATAGTGAAAATTCACACCTAAACAATTTAGAGAGTTCTTGAGGGGGAAGCTTTAATTTTTAAAAATCAAATTTGTATTACATACTTTCAGAGATTTACTCATTTATTTGAAAGGCAGAGTAATATAGAAGGAGAGAGAGAGAGACAGAGAGAGAAGGGGAAAGCAAGAGAGGGGATGAGAGAGACAGAGAATCTTCCACCTACTAGTTCACTACCCAACAGGATGCAATAAATGGGACTGGGCCAAGAGCCAGGAACTTCACCTAGGGTTCCTGCATGGGTGTCAGGAACTGAATACTTGGGTCATCACCTGCTGCTTCCAGCATTGGCAAGAAGCTGAAACTAAAACTGAGCAACAAGGACTCAAATCACTGCCTGCAAAACTGACATCCCATACAGGTGCCCATTTGAGTTCTAGCTGTTCCACTCCAATCCAACCCCCTGCTAACGTGCCTGGGAAAGCAGTGAAGGATGTCTCCATGTGGGAGACCCAGAAGCAGCTCCTGGCTCCTGGTTTCTGACTGCTCCAGCTCCGGCCATTAGCCTCAATGTGGCCCTCCCTCTCTGTAATTTGGCCTTTCAAACAAACAAAAGTAAACCTTAAAAAAAAAACTAAAGGATTTCTTGTATCAAACACATAATCATAATCACCATTGTCATAAGAAAGGAAAAATTATCTGGGGGCCATTTAAGCATAAAGCACACATACTTCACTTGAGACAAAGTAAAAATTCTCCTTCAATAATATAGTCCTCTAAAATGATAGGATTGGAGCTGGTGCAAGGCTAATCTCCACCTGCCAAGTGCTGGCACCCCATATGGGAACAAATCACATCCCAGCTGCTATACTTCCCACTCAGCTCTCTGTTTTGGCTTGGAAAAGCTGCAGAGCATGGCCCCAACGCCTTGGGCCCCCACACCCATGTGGAAGGCCAGAAAGAAGCTCCTGACTCCCAGCTTCAGATCAGCTCAGTTCCAGCCACAGCAGCCATTTAGGGAATGAACCAGTAATTCAAGATTTCTCTCTGTCTCTTCTTCTCTGAAAATATGCCTTTCAAACAAAAAACAAATAAATATTTTTTGAAAAAAGTGTTATGCAGCCTGGCACGGTAGCCTAGTGGCTGAAGTCCTTGCCTTGCATGCACTGGGATCCCATTTGGCTACTGGTTCTAGTCCTGGCAACTCTGCTTCCTATCCAGCTCCCTATTTAGGCCTGGGAAAGCAGTTGAAGAAAGCCCAAAGCCTTGGGACCCTGCACCTGCATGGGAGACCCACAAGAATCTCTGGGCTCCTGGCTTCGGATTGGCTCAGCTCTAGCCATTGCAGTCACCTGGAGAGTGAATCAACAGAAGAAAGATCTTCCTCTCTGCCTTTCCTCCATTCTGTATATCCGACTTTCCAATTAAAATAAATAAATACATCTTTTTAAAAAAAAAAGTGTTATGATCTATTTACATAGCAACCAGTAATGTAATATTTATGAACTCTCAGGAAAAAAATGCCCATTTTATTACATTCTCTATCTTATAAATCCTATTTAATTGACATACACTTCAAAGCAACTTTTTCCATGAAAGTATAAAACTATACATTTTGTTTTAGCTAGTTGAAATCAGTATTAAAAAGGCATTCTTACCCAAGTACTAGTTAAGTTTCTTTGCTTTGAAACAAGAATTGCAAGCACTGTTACCATGACAAAACAATCCATTAAAAAATGTCAAACCTGAGTGTAAGTGCAGTTCTTCTTTTTGCATTTGCCACAGGTAAATAGGTCAGTCTGGGTCCCGCCTGTCTTGGCCATCTGATGCTCTCTAATGGCTTCTTTGGTCAGATTTTTCCGCATTTCCTTGAGCTCATCACTAGCCATTTCCTGTTAGAGGGGTGGCAGGACCATGCAGTTACACATATATCCACATCCTGACTGCTTCTGTGCACAACTGACTTAACAATGACAGATCCAAAGTTACATTTAAAGTTTTTCGTAAAGTCAACATCTTCCCCTCATAGGACATGAGAATTTGCTTCCTTTTAAATTTTTTTCAAGTATTTAAAAGTTCACATGTGCAAACTAGATCTAAGTGCTGTCCAAGGGCTATAAATCTGAAGCGTCTTTTGTACTACCACTGTGCCCAACAGAGTCAGGCACCTCTGAAGAAGCAGGTCTGATTCCAGCTTCAAGGCACGACCTGCACAGGAGTACCAAATCACTGTGTTGCACCAGAAAGCACAGGTGCTAACAGGCTTTTTGCAAATGAGCTGAATGGGCAGCAGAGTTTCTATTGACCAAAAACAGAACAATTTTTTCAATCATCAAAATAAATTACTGAAAAGAAACAGTCCCTAGAGGACACATAAAAAGCCACAAGCCCATGATATTTACAGAAGACACACATATGCAAAATCAAATAAAAGACAACACCTAAGGAGAAAGAATTCCACATCTATCCTGTCTTTTCCCTCTCAGTCAACAGCTCAACCTTATAAAAGGGCAAGTACTTTCTTATGAAAGAACTCAAGCTTATAAATGAGAAAAGAGTAACACAATCCTTGAAACTCTGTTTTGTACCTCCTACTAAAATACTCAATGTAGTCAAGAATTACAGGATGAAAGGTTGAATGGAGTCCTTTATAATGGAGAACCCTGCTGCAACACTGGTCTACTCGCAAATCTCTGCATGATTTAAGATAGAGTAATGAGACATGTGATCCCTAATGTGATGCAGCAGAAGAAAGCAACATATGTTTTTATGAAGAAACAAATCAAACTTGAATGTAATACCAAAAAAACTAGACTCAAATTTACAGAAACTATGGAAATTAAAAATTCAATAACACAACGAGGAAGAAACACAAATCCATACTGGTGGGCACAAAATGAGTGACCTGGTTTCCTCAACAGATTGACGCCACAAAAAAAACGAGCAGAGGTGAGACAGAAGACAGAAAATAGTTGTACTGAGAGATAAAAGAAATAATTTCACATTTTAAAAAAATTGTAAAAACATCAGAAAACAGAACTAAACAAACATGTAGATTTAGATCCTGATATAAAATATAAACGTACAATTGGGAAAATATGTATCAATTACATTTTCCTAGATAATATTAAGGAACTGTTAGCTTTACTGAATATGGTAGCAATGACAATGTGGCTATCTAAGCAGAAATGTATTTAAGATCTATTTATGTGGGTCTCAGAAGGAGGAGTCTTGCTTGGATCCTGGCTCTATCCACCACGTGCGCCCACCCACTGCTCTCATTGAGCAGTGGACAGGATTGGGAAGGGGTGCGACCTTGAGTCTGGGGGTTTTAATTTTAAATAAAAATTAAAAAACAAAACAAAAAGATCTATTTGTTATTATTTGAAAGGCAGATTTACAGGGGTAAGACAATAGGAGACCAATAGACAGACAGATATCCTCTATCTGCTGGTTCATCTCCCAAAGAGGTGCAAGGGCTACAGTCTGAACTGATACAATGCCAGGAGTATCTTCCCAGTGTCCCACTTGGGTGTAGGGGCAAAAGGATTTGTGCCATCCACCACTATCCTGGGCAGAGAGCTAGATCGTAAGTTAACAACCATGTCGTCATATGGGATGCCAGTGTTGCAGATGGAGGCTAGGCCTACTAGGCCACAGTGCTGGCACCAAGAAAAATATATTTTTAAAGGGACCTGTTAAGTATGCACGTAAATAATACACTAGCTGGGATCTGCATGAAAAAAAATCAGGATAGGGTGGGATGGCTAGGTGCAGCTTCTTGCTTTATCTCCCCCTTTACGCCAGATACAGAATTTAAAAATGTGGTAACAATTAGTCTTACCCACTTTCCTGTAGCCCTTGATTGACCCTCTGCGCCCTAATCAACTTAGTAAAGATTGTCAAAATTAAGTAATTAAAAAAATCAGGATAAAAGGTCAAAGAAAAAAGTGACAAATGAAAGGGTAACAAATTGTCAAAAATTTTCAAAGGTTGATGATAGATATATATGGTCTTATGATACTATGTTCCTTACTTTGTGAAGGTTTTTAATTACTTTAATTAGCCTTTTAAAAATGAATTTTATAGACATAGCAATTTTTGTCTAGCACAGCAAATAGCAAGTCATTATATTTGTAGTGTTTACATAGTACTTCATAGGCTTGACACTGACATCAGGAGCTCACAGACATGAACGGTTTCTATACAACATACTCACCTCTGCTGTCATTCTAGCAAATAAGTCAGGAGGAATATTCCCACACAACACGTTCTTCCTTAAATTTGGGTTTTTTGCATCTTTAAGATTTGATATCCTACTTCGTACTCTATTTTTGTATTTCATGTCTGTATTCCTTATTTCTTGATATATAGGTACAAGGCCATTAAGGGAAACATGAGTTAAATTATAAAGACAAGATCATATTTCTCTATTCTGACAAAATAAAAATTCCTGAAATTTGTATGCAATCCAAAGAAAAAAATTTCCAATTCAGATGAAAAATAAGCCACTTTATCTGATCCTTGATCAGTAACTGAAAGTAATAGTACTTTTTATACCATGAAGGAGTATAATTTTTTTCTAATGTTTAATGCCAGAAACATGCAAACTAGCAGGGTTTCAAAAAATATAGGAACTTGGCCTTCCACAAGTTTTAACTAGCTCAAATGTGAATTCTACCAAGGTCGCAGAATTGCTTGGGAACCTTCTGAGAAGACCACCCACTGTGGCACCAATACGGAAGATTCACCTCTTCCAAGCTCAGCAGGAAGCTCATGTAACAGACTCTTCTCCACAGGGCAGAGGCCACAGCAGAAGCTGAGTTCTAGAGAAGATCCCTTCCTAACACGGATGTCTCCTCACCAAGGACATTTCCAATCACACTGTCGCCTGGATGCTTCTTTCCTTTTGTCCCTATTCTCATGAAAGACTTTCTCTTGCAGTGTGAACACACTGCTCTTTGGGATATGAGCCCTGTCAACTGCACATGCTCTGCTGAACCATATGAGAAATCATCATACTGTGAGTTTGCTTTTCATGTCCTTCCAGATAATTTTGAAATCCGAAGTTACATTCTCAATTTGAAATGCAGAAAAAAATACCACCAATGCTGTGTGCGTTTCAATAATGACAGGAAAATCAAAAGGATTAAAATAATCTAAATCCCCTTCTCCTTTCCAATCAAAACAGTGCAATCAACACAGTAACTTAGGAGTAAAACTTAGAATTATATTCCATAAGAAAAACTACAATTAGACTACTAGATTACTTAAGAAAACTATGAATACATGTAGAAAGGATATCTTCCTCAATTTGAGAACCCAATTCTTCCTCATCAGCTCCAATGGCAACATAGTCATCTAAAAGAAGATTAAAAACAATTTAATTGCAAAACTTAAACAATTTTTTCAATTGTAACACTTTAAAAAATTCCAAAACAAGGTTAATTAAACTGCATACCTATTTCTTCAACCCCATTTGCCTTATAAAGAGAATCCTTAGTCAGTTTCATTCAACTCTGTTCCTTACTACCCACTAGACTCCTCCCTGGGCTTCACCTAATATCCACAGGGCTCCTGAATTGATGATTCCTTATCCCTTAGGAGTAGGGAAGTAATTGCTCTAGCATGCAGTTCCTCATTTCACCACAACTCCATAAATTTTGGTTGCTCCAGCAGAGAGTAGACAAAGTTATAGAAAGAACTGTCTTGCCTCCTGGGACTCAGGCTTCAATGCAAAGAAACCATTCAATATCTGCCAATCACACACATGGACATACTCAGAAGAATCCTATATGAACATTCAAAAGGATAGAAGGAAATAGGAACGAGCAAGAAAACAAGAAAAAACAGACACTGAAGGAATCAAAGCAGAAAGGATAGAGGAAGGAGAAAAACAAGTTAAATGAGCTATGGTTCAGAAGAACAGAAAAGAAAAAGGATAGGCTTGTTGACGCTGATAAACATTTTTGCATATGAAACACTAACGCCAAAATTTTACTTGCTAAAATTGGGAACCATGAAAATAAGTGTCTGATATAGAAATCAAAATCTACACACACACAATTCATATACATGTGACAACTCAGTATTATTAGCTTACAACCTGAGGGCATGGTAATTCCTTTGTAGATAAATGCAAGGAAATCAAACATATGTGGAAAAGTTTAAATTACTAGGAATTTAGAAAGTTGTCCACACAGTAGAAACAATCTATTTCTGAAAATCACTTGGAAATGAGCAACTACACCAGCATGCCTTCTCCTCACTTCAGGGACTCCTATTAGCAACAACTTCTCCCTGGGTAAAGCAGATGTGGGCATCTCTCATTGGGATGGGAAACATGAGGTGGGGACAGCAGTTCTGAAATACACTAAACTTACCTCCTGTTCGGAGAGCCGCAGCCAACATCTCCCTACACTTTAACCGCACAGAATCCGAAGTGCTTGGTGCCCGAGGAAAAGATGAAACGTAAGTATCTCGAGCATTTGTCTCATCCTTTCTGCTGCTCATATTGCCACTGGAACTACTAAAATATACAACACAAGCACATACATACCAAAAAGAGAAGGAAAAAAATGCTTTTAAAGTAACAACATTACTACATAAGAAAAAATTTTGTCCACAAAATTAAAGTTACAAACTTTAAAATTTAGTAGTCTAATGTTTTTTAATCAATTATTTCACCCTGATTAACCTTCTAAAAGCTAAGCAATTTTTAATGAAAACAGATACAAATATAACTCAGCAAATGCAAAGCACAACTCTTGGTTTTAGGATAGAGCTGAATAGGCAAGACTAGAGAGCATGAAAGCTCTCAAGTAAAAAGAAAGAAAGAAAAACTGTTTCAGAAAGTGCTGTTCCTTCCCATTAAACCAGGAGTTCCCAATGAGACAATCTCCTCAGGATAAAAGCCATGTGCCATGGGGACGTAAAATAAAGAAGTTTAAAATTTAAATTTCTCCCAAATAATACCAATTAATCCTAGATGTTAGGACAGTTCAATAATTTCCAGTTGACCTACTCATTTTAACTGCTTATAATTAACGTTTTACTTTGGGTTTTTAGTAAATTTTTTCTAAAATATAACTGTCTTACATTTCTGCCACAATCTCAAAAACTTTAAAGTACCCTCTATAGGTCTAACTTGTTATAATGCTGCCATCTATCTAAAATACAATCAGTGCTAATCTTTAAGTAACAGGGTCACTGGGAGTGAGATGGCCACCTAAGTCCTCTAGGTTTAGTCAGTTCCCCTGAAGCCTTCTCTGAGACCTTATCAGAGAAATAGACCCAAAGGATATAGGTTTGCACATGATGACTTTTCATGTGTTCTCCCAACCACACTGAGTTTCTTCAGAGCCTGCACTAAGGGTTTACTGCTATTCGTATTTTCAAAATATTACAAAGCACCTGTCAATGATAAATAACTGAACAAATCAATGTTAAGATATTTTTTAAAACCACCTATTAATTACCTAAAGTATTTTTGCTTCTCTATGCCTGTGACCAACTGTTCAGCACAACTTAGAAATTTCCTGGGCAGATCTGATGGAGCTTTCTCCCCACTAGTTTCACTAATGCTGGCCCTGTTCTTAGATTCTGGTACCTTCTTTCAAGCACATAACCTTTTCAAAATTTCTGTACTTAAAATGTAGACCCTTGCTCAGCTCCAGTCACTTTGACTGAAACGCATACTTTCCTTTAAAATAAACCCCAGACTTGATTCTGCAGTCTTCTTCACTTCTTTAAGTGTATATTTGTGTGTGCAAGGGTAGACATCAATCACTTAATTTACCAGTTTTCATACATAATTCTATGCTGCTGAGGATAGGCTCTATGTCTAACTTAAATACATAAAACTATAAAAATGTTTGTATGTTTATATGCTTTAGGCATTAAATCAGTAACTCTAAATGCAACACAATTGAAATACGTTAAAACATCCTGCATAATAACAGTCCGTACTTTGCAAAAGTATCAAGGTCCTGAAAGACAGCAGAGTGAAGAACTACTTCAGATTAATGTAGTTCTTAGAGAATTTACTGATATACTTAACAGCATAAAGAACATAATATTGTTTTGTGTCATTACTACCTCAAAATACCTCAAAATTACCTCAAAATAAAGAGAAAATGCATAGTGTACTAAAAATTGTGATTTAACCTTACCATTGCTTATCAATTGTAATCAATAGTATTGACAAAATGTTAAGTTTTAGAAAAGAGAATAGAGTTTACTTGACACACACACAAAAAAAATACAATCCATACATGGCTTTTTCATAAACTGCCTGAAGGTCCCTTATAATCATCACCTATGTGTCTCACCTATTTTGATAATACAAGGTATACTACACAACATAAGGCATGTACAGAAAAGAATAAATACAGAGACTGAATAAGAGCTAAGGCACAACTTGAACCTTTCATTTCTTATCTTCACATTCTTAGTTAAAAAACAAACAAACAAACAAAACCCCACACAAAATCCAGGGCTGAAGTCAGTCTAAGAAGCAAAGTATTTGCTATTTGTATTTGTATTCTTAATTAGTACTGCATTATTGAATCTATAATATTAATAATTTATATTTATTTATGCAATGTATTTACTTCTCTGAAATGTTTGAGAAATCTTGTCGAGAACACGAAGACCTTCAAATGACTGTCTATGTACAATGACTACTTTCCTTTGATCAGAAAACAGGAGTGTAGCTATAGGACCATGAAGCATGCAGGAAGTGATGTGGCAAGACCACTTTCAACTTTCAATAGAAAAGAATTTCCGCAATGTGAAATACCTTTCTTCCCTTGCCTCAGGGCTATTCTGTGATGTAACTGCAGATTCCTTTTTCTTTTCTTCAGAGTCTTTCTCTGTTGATGGTCCATCTAAAAATTTATAATATTCATAAAAAGTTAGTGCTATTAAAAAAATACAAACAACTAAAATATACTGAGCATCCACAGGCTATTTACTACCTCTCCCTCAAAACCAAAATGGTGCTTTCCACAGGTAAATATGCATGTGGGTATTTTTCATGATCCATGTGCAGCCACCCACACCTAAATACATTTTATCATTTGGTGAAAACTACAAACTCATATGCTAATGGGGAGGAAAGTATAAACAACAAAGGAAGCAAAGAATTAAAAAAAAAATCAACACTGTCATTTTCAAAAGTAAAACAATCATACATACCAATATTGTTTTAGCAATATTCACCTTTAATAATTTTCATAAAGTCAAAACAGCTTAACTAATGTAATACTTAGTAGATTATTTTATATTCATTTTAAATCAACCACAACTGCCAAGAGGCTAGGTTCAGGAAACACTTGAGTGTACCTCAGAAATCACCTCACTCCTAGACATTTTGCTCAACAGTGGTTCACTGGTTCACTCTCCAAATGGTCACAAGGGAGCTGAGCCAATCTGGAGTCAGGAGCTTCTTTTGGGTCTCCCACACAGGTGCAAGGACCCAAGACATTGGGCCATCCTCCTATGCCTTCCCAGTCCACAAGCAGGGCGCTGGAAGGGAAGTGGAGCAGCCAGGGCATGAATTGATGCCCATTTAGGATCCTGGCATCTGCAGGGGGAGAATTTAGCCAATTGAGCTATCACACCATTTCTAAGTAATCTTCAGGGAAAGATTTTTCTAATATATGGATATTTTCCTAAATTCCTAGTAATACTGTTAACTAGTCTACAGACCACTGTCCTATCGTTGACTTTTTTAGCTATGGAAAAATTCTCCCGTTCCAGAATCCAATACAACAACCATAGATTCCATTTCAGTTTTCTTAAAATTAGACTTCAAACTTTACACACTTTACAAAGGTTCAGTCCCTAGTTTTCAGGCTCTTGTAATATTTTTCTTATTTCTATCACTGCCTTTGAAACTTTCAAAATGTTTGCTTTTCTTGTATTATCTTCCTTGTAAGTTTAATGCCTTCTTACACACAGACTGAATACAGGGCCATGGCACAAAAGAGATGAGCCCAAAACACTTGTGGTATCAGATGTAAGAAAGTTCAAAAAACTGCAAAGGGACTGAGCATTTATCCTACTGGTTAAGACGCCCATGTCCCACGTCAGAGTACCCAGGTTCTGTTCATGGCCCCATTTCCTAATTCAGTTTCCCATCAACACAGATCTTGTGAGGTGACAGTAATGTTCCAGTCACCCAGATTTTGTTCTCAATTTCTTCCTTCAGCCCCAAGATACCATGGCATTTGGACACTGAATTAGCATACAGAATCTCCTGTGTTCTGAGTCTCAAATTTCTAAAAATAAATAAATAAATAAAATTAGAAAAAAGGAAAACAAAACAACAACAACTGGTAGGCTTATCAAAAGAACACAGGAGCAGAGCTGAAGAGGCACAGAGGCCAAACCCGAGACAGCGCATATTATCAAAGTAAATCTGAATAGTAAAGAAATGCAATCCACTGAACAGACTAGAAATCCACAGATCCACACTAATAGTGGAAAAACAACTGAGGGTAGAAGGATTCCTTCTTAATAGTGAAATGATTTATAAATACTGAAGTGGGAAAGAAGTGTTAATCAACTGGGATAGGTGTTTGGTCTAGCATTTTAGAAGGCAGTTAAGTTACCTACATCTTACATCAGAGTTCCTGGGTTTGATAATTGGTGCCAGCTGCAGGTTCTGACTCATGCTCCCTAACACAGAACCGATGTGGCAGTAACAGCTAATGACAGAGTTCCTGACAACCACGCAGGAGATATGAATTAAGTTCCCAGCTTCTGACTTTGGCCTTAGCTGGATTCCTCTGCAGGTATGTGAAGCAAAACAGCAGATACGACCTTTGTCTCAAAGAAACTAGTTTAAAAATACCTATATTTAGGGCCCGGTGCGGTGGCGCAAGTGGTTAAGGTCCTTGCCTTGCACGCCCGGGGTTCCCATATGGGCTGCCGGTTCTAATCCCGGCAGCCCCGCTTCCCTTCCAGCTCCCTGCCTGTGGCCGGGGAAAGCAGTCCAGGACGGCCCAAGGCTTTGGGACCCTGCACCCGCGTGGGAGACCCGGGAGAGTCTCCTGGCTTCGGATCAGCATAGCACTGGCCGTTGCGCTCACTTGGGGAGTGAACCATCGGACGGAAGATCTTCCTCTGTCTTTCCTCTGTGTATATCCGCCTTTCCAATACAAAAAAAAAAAATAATAAAAATAAATCTTTAAAAATACCTATATTTAAAAATCATAAAAAGGACAAATCTCTATATCATAAAAATGGTTTTATAGAAAACCAATGAATAAACATTAATAGAGAAAAGGTTAGATAAAATTCAACACAGTTTTAAGATCTTTAAGAGTATCTTTCTTACAGAACAGCAAAAAGGAAAATAAACTATAATTTGATTAGATTTGATAACTTAAGAAGGAAAATTGTGGGTATATAACCTGATATCATTATGAGAAAATAACAGATAAATCTTACAGAATATGTTATTAAAATAAATGGGGGTGGAGGAGAGGGAAAAGGCCATGCTGTGGTGCAGCGGATAAAACCAATGCCTGTGATGCCAGCACCCACTACTGTCACCAGTTTGTGTGCTGGCTGCTCCTCTTCCAACTCAGCTCCCTGTTAATCTGCCTGAGAAGGCAGCTAAAGACAGTCTCTGCAACCAACTGGGAGATGAGGAGGAAGCACCTGGCTTAACTGACCCAGCTCCAGCTGATGTGGTCATCCGAGGAATGAACCAGCCAATGGAAGATTTGTTTTTCTCTTTAACTCTGTCTTCCAAATACATACATACATCTTAAAAAAGAAAGAAATGGGGTAAAGGTAATTGTACTGTTCAAAATGTCAATGTCATAAATCAAGAGAGGGACTGCCTTGGAGTAACAGGTTAATTTTTTGCTTGCAGCATCAGTACCCTTTATGGGTACTGGTTTGTGTTCCAGCTTTTCTACTTCCAATCTAGCTCCCTGCTTTCGGCCTGGGAAGGCAGCGGAGGATGGCTCAAGTCCTTGGGTTCCTACCTACGTGGGATACCCTGGCTGCTAACTTGAGATCTGCTCCACTCTGCCTGTTGTGGCCAATTAGAGAATAAACCAGTGGATGGAAGACTTCTCTCTCCTGTTGCTCCTTCTCTTTGTAATATCTATTTTCTCAAATAAAACAAACAAATCCCTTAAAAGGAGAGAGACAAAAGAGGAGAATGAGGAGGGGTGGGGAAGAAGGAAGTAGAACAAGGAGGAAGAGAAACAAGAGAAGTGTAGTTAGTCTCCATGGATCTGCGCCTTCCTGGCCTATGCTGGAGCTCATGAGGGTGCAACACACTGCATCCCAGCAGAAACCGGCAAGGGCCTTGGCAAACTGAGACCCCACTTTGACCTGATGGCTGATAGGAGGTCTGGAACTAGACAGTATATATCGTGCTTGGCAGGTCCCCACCTTGCAGTAAGGAAACGGGAGATCAAATTAGGGGATGCTTGCAGACTGCTCTTGTCAGGAAGGACTGTATCTAAAACTGACCTTTAAGTTGAGTGGTGGCTATGAGGGATGGGGGGACCAAACAGGTTACTGTTACTAGTGCTCTGGGCTTCCTGTTTATCACCCTGCATATAAGCTTCACCATTAGACTCAATAAATGGATTGACTGTTTGACTCCTAGTCATCTCCTTTCTCCGGTGGACTTCTGCCAGACCCCTGCCACCTTATCTTGGGATCTTCCAGGAGGACGAGGAAAGCAGCCTCAAAGAGGCTTATGCATGATTCCAGATGAAAAAACCAGATATGGGATCCCAGGTTTGACATATTGAGACGATTAACAAAACTACAATATGGACTGCAATTTAAAGTACTGCACCAATAACAAATTCCTTAAATTTTCTATACTATGGTTCTATGAGAAAATATGCTTGCTCTAAGGAAAAACACTTAGGCATTGAAAAACAAAACAATACTGCATGTTCTCAATGTGTGCAAGCCAAAATGTCAAAAACACAGAGGAAGACAACAGTGGTGAGCAGAACCTGGAAAAGGCGAGAAAAGGAGAGATGGAAAGAGAAGACAGAAGTGCAGGTGAAGAGGAGGAACACCTTTAATTGTCCTAAAACACAATGGGACAACTATAGTTTGTTTGTTTTTTTTTTTAAGATTTATTTTTATTGCAAAGTCAGATATACAGAGAGGAGGAGAGAGAGAGGAAGATCCTTCGTCTGATGATTCACTCCCCAAGTGAGTGCAACGGCCAGTGCTGCGCTGATCCAAAGCCAGGAGCCAGGAACTTCCAGGTCTCCCACGTGGGTGCAGAGTCCCAAAGCTCTGGACTGTCCTCAACTGCCTTCCCAGGCCACAAGCAGGGAGATGGACAAGAAATGGAGCTGCTGGGATTAGAACCGGGGCCCATATGGGATCACAGCGCATTCAAGGCAAGGACTTTAGCCGCTAGGCCATAGAGTTGGGCCCACGGGACAACTATTGTTAATAACAAAATAGCTAACAAAGACGACGGTGAATGTTTCCAACACAAAAAGTTAACAAATGTGTGAGGTGATGGACGTAACAATCATCTTAATCTGATCTCAAGGATAATTACTGTGTCAATTATACACACATGTGTGTGAGTATGTATCACATATGTATGTTCTTCTTTTAAGAATGCACCAACTTTCCCTTGGAGATAAACTCTTCTTCCCAAAGAGCTTATCTAGTATGTGTATCAGAAGGCAAGAAACCTAAATCTGAGAGGCCCAAAAAATGAAAAACTTCTTCGAGATCAAACTAACCCCATATTACCAAGCTTATGAGGAATATGCCCCAAATTTAGAGAGAAAAAAAGTGCAAACATGAGAATAAATTAAATAATAAAAACATGTATGGGAAGATAAACTGTACCTAATAACTTTTTCCAGGATTTGATGAGAGACTTTGCTAAAGATGTAACTTCTTCATCTGTACTTTGCTTGCGAATAGCATTAACTGACATTCCGATTCTTGTAGACTGCAAGGCAACAATACAGCAATACAATACAATAAAATAATAAAATAATAAAGTTGTACATCAATTTTATTTCAAGTAATTTGGCATTCTACCCAACTTATCTTGTTTCTCAAGTTCCTATTTCCACTTCAAGGTAACAAAAACAACAACAAAACTCTTCAAATATTTGTATTCTTATGCCATAGACTTAAGAGACATTTTTTTTTCAACTTAAACACTGCACTCATCAAAATGATTACAGAGACCTGCAAATACATAACTTACTACTGTAATAAGGCTGGCAAACATATGAAATCAATCCTTTCATGGAAAACTGAGGATAAAATGTACAATTGTACTTGTAAAACATAGGGCATGCCGAAGAAATCATGACTAATATATGTGTCTCTTTGATTTTAGACATTCTGCATATATTACTCCACAGAGCTGAAACTTACTGAGTCTATCTAAACATAAACTACTACTTACAGAGGTTTAAAAGACTTTTTTTTTTTTTTGGCCTTTAACTGGCTTATAAGCATAGATATTAAACAGATTCAGAGGATGTAAAATTTAACATGTGATATTATGTACCCAGAATGCTATCTGGAGCATTCATATTCATTAATCTTCCTAATAATTCTTAAAAATTGAAATCACTCTACTTTTTAAACAGAATTTCTTTTTCTGTCTCCTTTCTTTCTTCCTCCCTCCTTTTCTCTTTCTTTTCTATCTCTGAAAGGCAGAGATACAGTGAAAGGAGAGATGGATTGACAGGTTCTGTCCATCTGCTAGTTCACTTTCCAAATGAAGCTGGGCCAGACTGAAGTCAGGAGCCCAGAACTCCAATCAGGTCTCTATGTGGATGACAAGCACCCAAGCACTTCGGCCTTCTTCCACTGCTTTTCCAGATGCGTTTTGGGAAAGCTAGATTTGAAATGGAGTAGCCACAACTTCAAACTGGTGCTCCCATGGGATGCAAGTTTCGCAGGTGGTAGGCAGCATAATTTGCTGAGCCACAAACACCAGACCCTCATTTGACTTAGTTCTAAAGATGAAAAGACTGGATGTAACAGTAAATAACTTTCCCAGTATTATACCATTATTAATTGAAAAGGCTGGGATTTTAATTTAGCTTTGTCTACTTACAAGGTATATGCTCTTTCCCACATCAATGGTTTTCAAGTGTGTTCAAAGATCATAAAAGCATTGGCAGTGCAATTAAAAATGACCAAAAAAATGGTTAATTATTTAGCAACTTTAGGCTGTTAATAGACAATCAATTCCTAGTACTGAGAGAATGAACCCCTGCTATAAGTTTTAAGGCAAAAAAATAAATTGGTACTTAAGGTTTCCTTTAAATAATTTAACTCAACAAAAACACAAGTGTTGGGCAAGAATTTAGCATCTGTGACTGACTGGTATAACCTGTGTTATACCGACTGGAAAGCTTGGCATGGCAGGTGAGGTTTAACAGCAAAAGATTAAAGCACAGGCTATTTTAATTATTAAAAAGACAGTGATTGGAACCAAGGTTGTGACACAGCAAGTAACGATACCATCTGCTATGCTGGAATTCCATATGAGCACTGCTTCATGTTCCAGCTGCTCCACTTCCAATCCAGCTCCCTGTTAATGTCCTAGAAACCCAGTAGAAGACAGACTACGAGCTTGGGAACTCCTGAACGCACCTGGGACACCCAGATGAAGATACAGGCTCCTGGTTTTAGGCTGGCCCTGGCTACTGCAGACATTCAGAGTGTGAACCAGAGGATAGATGAGTTCTCTCTCTCTCTGTGTAACTCTGCCTTTCAAATAAAAAAAAAGAAAAGAAAAAAACCTAAAGACCATGATTGGGCTGACACTGTGGTAAAGCTATCACCAACTTTGATGTGAGAACTCATTTTGAGTGCCATTTCATGTCCCAGCTGTTCCACTTTTGATCCAGCTCCCTGTTAAAGAGCAGATGGTCCACGCATGTGAGTCCCTACTACTCACGTGGAACACACAGAAGAAACTCTTGGCTCCTGGCTTTGGCTTGACATAGCCCTAAGACACTGCAGCCATTCAGGGAATAGGCAGATGGAAACTTCTATCTATCCTCCCCTTTCTGTAGTACTTTCAAATAAATAAGCCTTTAAAAAAATCAATGATTATCCAACCCGACACTGAAGAAACTCATACTGATAATAAACATGCTAATAAAAGTAATAGATTATCTAGTCAAAATAAGAAACACAGTTGCTAAGGAAGAATAAAAAGTAAAAATCTGAAATAAGTAATTTTTTTCCCTTCAGAAGGTATTTTTGGGAAAACAGAAGAAAGCAGTAAGAGAAAACAAAGCACCACAAAGCTATCTGCTTAAATAACCAAGCCTTGATTTACCTCTAAGAATTAAGCAGACTCTAGGAATTTTTCCCAGAATTGATACCTCAAGACTTTCCGGATGCAAAAGGTACCCTACAAAGGGACTAGCTTTGTGGAACAGCAGGTAAAACCACCGCGAAATGCCAGCATTCCCGAAGAGCACCAGTTTGAATCCTAGCTTGCTCTACTTCTGAAACAGCTCCCTACTGAAGCACCTGGGAAAAAGCCAGAAAATGGCCCATGAGCTTGGGCCCTTGTACACATATGGAAGACCTGGATACTGCAGCCCATTTGGAAGTGAGCTAGCAGATCGAGGACAACTCCCTCTCTCTCATAAGTCTGCCTTTGAAATCAAATAAACAAATAAATCTTTAAAAAATTTGTCTTATTGTTAGCAAGCAAATGGTCCCAGCTCAAACCATCACACTTAGTGAAGTAAGCCAACCCCAAAAGGACAAATATCATATGTTCTCTGATATAAGACAGTTGATATGCAAAGTACAACACTATATATATATATATGACCTGTACAAGGGAGAGGGAGTTTGTATATCAGAAAGTAATACACAGTATGCATCTCCACACCCAAGGGAACATAAATAAGCCTTCACATCACAGTACCATGGGTTTCCTAACTTTGCCTGTACTTACCATGTCACCAATATTTACATACTAGAAAATTAAACTGTATTGAGGGAATGAACTATTGAGGTAACACAGGGACAGAAGGTGGGAGGGGGAATAGGGAGCGAAAGAGTAAGATGAGCCTCTATGCTTTTAAAGCTGTACTGTGAAAAACAATAAATAAAACAAAAACTGACAAAAAAGTATTTTGTGCTTAAGTAACATAAGGAATTATGGGGTTAAACAGCTTTGTTGACTGCAGGACCGATCCAAGTTTTTAGTAAACTGCATATTGTGAAACTCTAGCAGAGAACTCGTCTTCTTGGCTTATGATTTCTTTAGACTGTGAAGTATATACTTAGAAAGGCACTATCCTGTAGGGACAGGAATGAAATAAACCTATAGCAGGCTCATTTTTAATTTGATAATTTTATGTGGTCCATGAATGATGGTCATTTGGGCAGTGAACCAGCAAATGAAGATCTCTGTGCATTTATGTGTACCTTTCTTTGTAATTTTTTCAAATACATAAAGAGTGTCTTTAAAAAAAAACACACACAGAATGAAAGAAAGAAATTGTGGCCAGTGAGATGCCTCAATGGTTAAATCCTCACCTTGAAAGCTCCAGAATCCCATAGGGGTACCAATTTGTGTCCTGGCTGCTCCACTTCCCATCTAGCTCCCTGTTTATGATCTGGAAAAGCACAGAGGGATGACCCAAAGCCTTGGGACCCTGCACCCACATGTGAGACCTGGAAGAAACTCCTGGCTCCTGGATTAAAGATTGGCTTGGCTTAGGCTGTTGTGGCTATTTGGACAGTGAAACAACAGATGAAAGATCTTTCTCTGTCTTTCTGTAAATCTAATCTGCCTTTCCAATAAAAATAAATAATTTCTTTTAAAAATTATTTTTATTGGAAAGAAAAAACTAAAGCAAAGGAGAGATTTTCCATCTACTGGTTCACTCCCCAAATGGGTACATTGGCTGGAGCTGAATTGGTCTGAGGCAAGGAGCCAGGAGCCAGGAGCCTCCTCCTCATCTCCCATGTGGGTGCAGGGGAACAAGTACCCAGGCCAGCCTCAGCTGGTTCCCATGCCACAACCAGGGTACTGGATCAGAGTCGAGTAGCTGGGACATTAAGCAGCCAGTGACACAATTAGAACCCAAAATGAATGAAATCTTGGATGACATACCACAGATTAACTTAAGTCACGCTGTTTAATAAATAAAGGAGAAGTACTGTGCAATCTCACTTGTAGAATTTTAAAAAGGTTATTTATAGAAGTTTAGAGTATAATGTTGGTTACCAGAAGCTGGAAACCACAGCAAGGGAGAAGGGATAGGGAAAGTCATGAGTACAAAACCATAAGAAGTAATGATGTTCTACATAGAAGGACAACTATAGCTAATGCTAATGTATCTTTCTCTTAAGAAAACAGGAGCTGGCACCATGTCAGTAAGTTAAGCCTCCACTTGTGTCACTAGCATCCTATATGGTCACTAGTTTGTTCAAATCCCAGCTACTCAACTTCTGATTGAACTCCCTTCAAATGCACCTGAGAAATCAGTGGAACATGGCTTAAGTGGTCACACCTCTGCACTCACACAGGAGACCCAGCTCTGGTTGTTTATGTTGTCTAAGCAGTGAACTAGCAAATGGAAGATATCCATCTTTCTCTCTCTTGTTCCCTTTCTGTTTCCTCTTTGTAACTCTGCCTTTTAAATAAATTAATTAAAATCTTCAAAGAAAAACTTTTTTTTGGAAAAAAAACTTTTATAAAAAGGATTTTAAAAATGTTTGAGGAAATAAGTGAATTTACACTAACTGAATATTACACAGTACATGGCTGCATAGAAGTATTACATATTCGTGCATAAACATGATGTTATTTATAGTTGTAACAGTTATAATCTTAAAAATGTTAATTACTGGGGTCGGCACAGTAGCCTAGCTGATAAAGTCCTTGCTTTGAAGGCACCAGGATCCCATATGGGTGCCAGTTCTAATCCCAGTGGCCAAGCTTCCCATCCAGCTCCCTATTTGTGGCCTGGAGAAGCAGCTGAGGATGGCCCAAAGCATTGCAACCCTGCAGCTGTGTGAGAGACTCAGAAGAAGCTCCAGGCTCCTGGCTTTGGATCGGTGCAGATCCGGCTGTTGCGGCCACTTACAGTGTAAACCAGTGGATGGAAGATCTTCCTCTCTGTATATCTGACTTTCTAATAAAAATAAATAAATCTTTAAAAAATATATTCATTACTGAATGAATCTGCTACATAAAAAATGTCCAAAACTAGCCCAAAATATGCATACATATCTAAAGATTTATTTATTTTTATTGGAAAGACAGATTTACAGAGAGAAGGAGAGACAGGAAGAAAGATCTTTCATCTGCTGGTTCACTCCCCAAGTGGCTGCAATCGTCAGAGCCTAGCTGACCCAAAGCCAGAATCATGGAGCTGCTTCTTTCTGACTCTCCCAAATGGGTGCAGGATCCCAAGGCTTTAAGCCATTCCTCTACTGCTTTCTCAGGTCATAATCAGGAAGCTAGACAGGAAGTGGAGCAGCTGAGACACAAACTATTGCCCATATGGGATCCTGGTGCATGCAAGACAAGGATTTAGCCACTGAGCCATAGCACCTGGCCCACCAGCCCAATGTATTAGTTTTTCTCCCCATTTATTTCCACATCTTCAATCCAAACCAACAGCATTCTCCTCTATGACACTGAATTGAACTCTGCAATGGACTCCTCATTATAAAATTATAATTATAAAATATTTAGCCAGTGCTAAAAAGGGAGAAGAGTGACACCTGTCAATCTCACCATGAGGCAAGGTTCAAGCTGGCAACATCTACTGATGACAGATCCAGAACATAAAATCCTGAGAAAACAAATCAAGGCTCCAAGTCTAAACTCCTCTCACAATATGATTTCACTAGCATTATCAACCTGGGAGATTCAAGTTTTATTCTTAAGGAAGGTAAATAATTTTTCTATAATGGGAATTTAGTAATCAGTTATGTTACACTCTTTTTTAAAAATAGGGTAATAGTTTACACCATAAGACAATACAACCTTACACTGGTTTTAAAGTTACAGTATTTAATGAGATTCAAAAGCTGTGACAAATTTAAGAACATACCTGTAATAATTCCAGAGTCATAGGAATATTCTTAAGTTCCTTCAGCAAATCCAAGGCTCCAGCCTGTAAAACAAATCAATTTCATACTGAATATCTGAACACTGAAACAGGAACTAACCTCATTAAGACAGAAACTCCTGCCAAGCATGTCCAGGCCCAAGTGAAGACCTGGAGGCACGGCTGTGATGTCGCTCTGCCTCCCATGGGGCCCAACTACCCCTTTTTCATGGCAACATTAGTTAAGGATGGTAGGTCTGCAGACCTCCCTGGAGATCCGCTGCCCTCCTGTGAATCTGAAGAAGACAACAGACACTCTGCCCTTCCACAATGAAGACTGAGGGAAAAAGGTCGCAGTCCCTGGCAACAGCTCCCAGGGCACTGCTAAGCATTTGGAGGATCTCTTAAGAGGTTATGTGGAAATGAGCCTAGCAACTAGTATTGCCATAGTCTTTTGAATTAAACAAGAAATTGAAGCCCATCAAGGCCAAGAAGTTACCAGAGGCTGAAGAGGCTCTGTGTAAGGCCCTGGAAGCTGTAGCTGCCCAGGGCAAGGACAAGAAGTCCTGGTGTCTCCAAGAATTGCCACTGGTAGGAGACCCGAGAGAGGAGCTTTGGAAACTTCTTCATCGGGACACAGTCCCGCAGGTGAGCACAAGAACCAAGGCAGGGGGCAACCCAGATCATGCCAGATTACAGTACCCACTGGCACATATGTGGGTTAGGTCTGGAGACAGACCTGTCTGGGCCAGTTCATAACATCCACTGGCAGATTGGAGAACCAGAATGGGAGCAGGAGGAGCCAAATCGGGCAACAACACCAGCCAGCCAGTTCACATTAGGGCCAAAACAGCAATCAGGCTGGGCTGGGATAGGCTGCAGCACTCACCAGCAAGAGCTGGAACAGGGGCAGGCTAGACCAGGCCAGACTGCTCAGTAAAATTATGGATGCTGATATGAGTCAAGTCATGCCAGTCTGTGGCCAGCAGGGGCTAGGTTTGTGAGTTCCAGGGGCAGGGGATCTGACAGGGCCTGCGTAGCTTGGCTCAGATCCTGGGGTTCACCAGCGTGATGGGGACCAGGTTGGTGAACCTTGGGGTAGGAGGATCCCGTGGTACTTGGATCGCGTGGCTCAGGTTCTTGGGCCCACCTGCGAGGGGAGTGCTGGGTTCGTGAGTCCTGTGGGTGGGGAATCTGGCCCATCTGGCTGATGATATGTGTAACTCATTAAAATATGACACCTAAATACCCGACAAACCAATGAAACAGTACATCCTAGAAAAAACAGAATCCCAGAGAATATCCTTCACTACGCATCCTAAAGGAGAACTTTAGGATGAGCTTTCATGATATTGTACTAGTCTTCTTAAATATGAAATCAAGTAAAGGAACTGACATTGTGGCTCATCATGTTAAGCTGCTCCCTGCAACACCAGCATCCACATCAGAGTGCTAGTACTCAGACACTATGTTTCCAATCCAGCCACTTGGTAATGTAGCAGAGGATCAAAGTGTTTGGATCACTGCTGTAAACGTGGGAAACCCAGGTGGAGTTTTTGGCTCCTGGCTTTGAAGTAAGAAATTGCTTTCTATTCCTCCCTTCCTGTGTCACTGTGTCTTTTTTTTTTTTTTTTCCTTTAAGATTGATTTTTATTGGAAAGGAAAATCCAATTTTACAGAGGAGAGACAAGATCTTCCATCCACTGGTTTAATCCCCAGATGGCCACGACAGCCAGAGCCAAGCCCATCTGAAGACAGAATCTAGAAGCTTCTAGGTCACCCACATGTGTGTAAGATCCCAAGGATTTGGGCCATCCTCCATTTGCTTTCCCAGGCCATAAGCAAGGAGCTAAATGGGAAGTGGAGTGGCTAGGAGAAGAACTGGTTCCCAAATGGAATCCTGGAGCTTGCAAGGCAAGGATTTAAGTCATTGAGCCATCATGCCAGGCCCCACAAATGATGTCTTACTGGGGACTACCCAGATTTCATTGAGGACATTATAAAAACATGGCATATAAACCATAATAGCTTGATGAAATGTGAGAATTTCTGGAATGCCCAAATAGATCTTAAGTTTTAGCTAACGAACTATGGATCTATATCTTCCATACGTGTATCTGTATCTCCTACTATGGGCGTTTTCTTCTATCAACGTCTCCACTTCTGATCCAGGATCAACTATACAGGAAGAAAAGAAATCACGTTTCTAAGAGTTCCCGCAAAGGTCTCCTCATGCCTTATATAATGCTACCTGTCACATCTGCAATATGATATGGTTTAAGCTGTTATCCAAGTAGAGGAAACTTTCCTTTCCTTGTCGAATCTCTTGGTGATCAGATGCATGATAAAAAGAGAAAGCGAAGTAACACTCATGGAATAAAACTTCTATGATTGGGCCTGGCACAAGCCTAGTGGCTAAAGTTCTGACCTTGCATGCACCAGGAACCAGTATGGGTGCAGGTTCTATCTCAGCAGCCCTGGTTTCCATCCAACGCCCTGCTTGTGACCTGGGAGAGCAGTTGAGGACAGCCCAAAGTCTTGGGACCCTGTGCCTGCATGGAAGACTAAGAGACGACTCTGGACTCCTGACTTCAGATTAGCTCAGCTCCAGCCATTGCAGCCATTTGGGAAGTGAATCAGTGGATGGAAAATATTCCTCTCTGTCTCTCCTCTCTATCTGCTTTCCAATAAAAAAATAAATAAATCTTTAAAAAAAAAAGTCTACAATCTTTTTCATAATTACAATTTTCTAATGAGTTAAAAAGTCCTCAGTCTGGGGCTGGCATGATGGTATAGCATACTAATCCCGTACCTGAAGCTCCAGAATCCCTTATGAGTGCCAGTTCTAACACAGGTGACTCTATATTCAATCCAACTCCTTGCTACCAACCTGGGAAAGCAGTGGAAGATGGCCCACACCTTGAACCCCTGCACCCATCTGGAGTCCCAGAAGCTCCTGACTCCCAACTTCAGATCGGCCCAGCACTGGAGGTTGCATCTGTTTAGGGAATTAACAAGCAAATGGAAGACACCTCTCTCTTCTTTTCTCTTTGTAATTCTTTCAAGTAAAATAAACCTTTAAAAGTCAAGTTTCTTAAAAAAAAAAAAAAATAGAAAATTAGGATGATTTTAGTGAAACTGGCAAAAATAGATGATTATTAAGTCACAGTAACAACTTTTGAATATTGCTATGAGCTATGTATAGTATAAAACACTTTATATTCATTATGTCATGGCAACTCAGTAAATCCTACGGAAGCAAGCATCCATTATATCCATTTTGCAGATGATGAAATTAAAATCCAGATATATTAACTTGTACAAGTATATGCAACTAACTAGAAAAGTTAAGAATCACTATAATTCTGTCAAACTATACTCCATCCTCTCTCAACAAATACCCATTAACAAAACATATCAAGCTCTGCTCTGTTTTGGGAATATAGCAATGAGCAAAACAGAATGCCTTCTGATTTCACAGAATTTTAAAACAAACAGAAAACACTGCTGTTTCAAACTTTTCTATTACATCAAGAAAAAAAGATATACCCAGAAAAGGACAGTGACCTGCCCAAGGTCATACTGATGGGAAGTGTAATACTAATGACAAGAACCATACCTTCCTGCCCTTTATATCACTAATCTTTTCATTTATCCACCAGACAGCTGTACTCTGTGAGCTCAGGGGAACAGCACTAAGGAACAACAACAACAAAAAAAGATGCATTCTCTCATTGCTCAATCATCACCTACCTCCACATGTCAAGTCTGAGATCACAGCATCCCCTACAGGTAATGATGCAAGAGAAAGAAAGAGTCTAACCTCCAGAGTCAAATGTAGTTCACAGTAGGGCTGAACAACAAGCTAAAGCTACTTCATTATTAACACTGCTGGTACTCCTATCTCTCAAGGAAACATGTTCTTAAAAACATGCTGTTCGGGCCGAGCCTGGTGGCTCAGCGGCTAAAATCCTCGCCTTGAAAGCGCTGGGATCCCATATATGCACCAGTTCTAATCCCGGCAGCTCCACTTCCCACCCAGCTCCCTGTTTGTGGTCTGGTAAAGCAATCGAGAACAGCCCAAAGCCTTGGGACCCTGCACTCACATGGGAGACCCAGAAGGAACTCCTGGTTTCTGGCTTCAGATAGGCTCGACTCTGGCCTTTGTGGTCACTTGGGGAGTGAACCAGCGGATGGAGGATCTTTGTCTCTCCTTCTCCATGTAAATATGACTTTCCAATAAAAATAAATAAATAGATCTTAAAAAAACAGACTGTCTTAAGGAATAAAATGGACAAATAAGGTAACATAACAGATGAAGTACCCTGACACACAGAAGATAACTGGTAAGAGGTACAATGATATAGGAAGAATTATTTCTATCTTAACAATATTTCCAAAGACCCACAGGAAACCCATATGAGGGTGCCAGTTCATGTCCTGCCTACTCCACCTACGCAGCTTTTTATTAATGTGCCTAGAAAAGCAGTGGATATCAGTCCCAAGGGCTCGGACCCCTACCACCCACATGGAGGCCCTGCTGCAGTTCTTGGCTTCGGTCTGGTCTAGCTATAACTGTAACCAGCATTTGGCACATGAACTAGATCTCTTTCTGCCTTAAATCATCAATAAAGAAAAGAAACCTTAATCCCACCCAGGAACGCTCTTTATGAACTTCCTAACTTAAGGTTCCCTGGTGCAGCACTGGGACTAGGCAAGTTAAGCTGGCACCTGAGATACTAGCATCCCACATCAGAGTGCCAGTCCAAATCCACTGGCTTCTCCTCTTCTGATTCAGCTCCCTGCTAACATACTTGGGAAACAGCAGAAAAACGGCCTAACTACTTGAGGCCCTGCCACCAATGAGAGATCTGGATGGGGTCCCAGACTCCTGGCTTCAGGCGGTACACTGGGACGGAAGAAATTTTTCTCTTTCCCTCCTTCTCTCCCACCCCTAGCTTTCAAATAAAAAGTAAGTCCTTACACCCTTTATAATGACAAATCCAGGTTATTATACTCTAGGCATAAGAAAACACTTTATATTCACCCACTTTTTACAAAATAGCTCCAATTTGCCATCCAGAAAAAAGCATATTAAATGATATTAGGGAACTTAGCTAAAGTTCAGAGTAAAACCTGGTTATTGACACCACGTCAAAATAACAAAAAACAAAATCTTAAGTGAAAGACAGCCTAAACCTAAAATGTTAAAGTACTTCCTGGGTCCCTGCAGCCTGAGAACACTCACTCTGTACAACCATGATGAAGACCTTTTGCCATTAAACAAGGGGCAATAATACTCTAGGCAGTCCTGGGCACAGGATATGGGGTGAGGATTCAAGGAAACCTGTCTATACTAGCACAGAAAGTGGTCTCACTTCCTGGCCTTCTAAACACTTCACTGTACTCAGTCATGGTTCAAACACACATCCAAGAGTCCTCCAGAGCAACCATGTAGCTCTGGAACCAGGCAGCAGTGCTAGCTTTGGAGGGTAAGACTCAAATGCACAAAAACCTTCATTTGGCCACATACTATTTATTAGGTTTAGGGCAATTCACTTAATTCTAAAAATACTTAGTCTCCTCATTTCTAAAGTAATTAACTTATAAAGATGTCTGAGCAATAAATAAGTAGGTATGGTGTGTGTAGAATGGTGTATGTATATGATGGGAGGGTGGGTTCAAATTTTTTTGTCTCAAAGTAAGCTTATTTTCCTTCTATTTTCCACAAACTTTCTGAAGTATCTTCCTAAGTTCTCTACTTGCCGATCACCTGGCTCAGAGTAACAATTCAATAAATGGTTGCTACTTTCAGTGTAAGTGCAAAGCGCAACAACCTAGGGTTTTACAAAAACAAAATGACAGCCAACAGCAACAGCAGGGTTTGACTTTGTTGATTTAAATAATTATTACTCGTGGAACAGTTTGTCATTTCATAGGATAAAAACATTAAAAACCAGTTTATGAGAGAAAAATATGGAAGCCACAGGAAAAGAAATAAATTTGTAACAAACCTTCAATCTCAAAATAAGCTCATTAAAGTATGGAATCCTTAGGCTATTTGTGGGTAGACTGTGTACTTCGGGGAGAAGGAAGGAGTGTCATTCTGACCTTGCTCTTTATTTCATCAGCCTGTTTGAACTTCTAGAGTGCAGACATGAAAATGTAGGAGGGCATCTGGGACCTGGGGAGGGTGGGAAATTGGGTGGGCCTTCTCCCCTAATACACCCCTTTAAACATGAAGGAAACAATATGGAAATAGTCTTACCCATTTTCCTATACCCCTTTTTACCCTAATTAACGATGTAAAGATTGTCAAAAATATAATAAAGAAAAAAGAGGGGAAACAAGAGAAAAAAAAAAGAAAATGAAGGAGGGCAGAATAAAGGAAAAGACCCAAGTTTACTTTTTTTTTTTTGGAGGACACATTATCAAACTGGTACAGCTTTTGAACTACTAGGAAACAGATCTGAGATGAGACAACTAGATTCAAGGACTACCTGTGGAGTCTACCTCATTCTTTCCCACACTGGTCACTAACTGTTCTAGAAATCTGATTGAGAATGATAAACACATTCCTAACTTCTCCATACCTGCCCACTGAGGAATTACACATTTTAAGAAGCATTCATTGCAAGGAAACAAACAAACCACCACAGATACTCATTGCAGTCCAAGTCAGACAAAACAATTATCCAACAAAACACTGCCCATTCCCCACTCCCAAGGCTTTTACTATAGCACACAGATGGGCTCCAGAGAAAATGTTTCCAATTTAAACAAAATAATAAAAGGGCAAACTAGGGCTGAGCGTCTAGCATCCCATCCTAGAGTACTCAGTCCCAGCTTCCGGTTCACTGGCACCTTGGGAGGCTGCTAGGGTCCTCGCCATGCAAGCTGAGAAACCTAGACCGAGCTCCTGTCTCCTGGTTTTACCTGGCCCAATCCTCCAGCTCACATTTGCTGAGTGCATCCCTTCCCTACCTTCTAAATAATGTCTAAAAAGTGATTAGCCTATCAAAACAACATAACTATCATAACTATCGTGGGCATATGAAAGGACTGTATCAATAAGAAAGATGGCACAGGCCATGGGGAACAGAAAACAGGAAATACTTTAAAAAGCCAATTGCAAATACTGATTAACAGAGTATAAAATTAAACATTGGGGCAAAGCACCTGTTAAAAGGAAAAGAGGAAGAGAGGATGTTTGTAGTCTTAAGTACTTAATGTTAACATTAATTTCTGATCTGGCTACCACATGCAAAGTAGAAGACCTGGTTACTGGCTTACTACAAACCACTCAGTACTTAATTTAGTTAGAGGTCCTGACTCACTGGCTGCCTCAGCCTGCTCATCTGTAAATTCGATGCACCTTAGGTACTGCCAGCTGTGAGAAACAAACGTTTTTGCACAGATGTTCTGGAACTCTGAAAATGCTGTGCACAGTCAGCGCATCCCTTTTCACCTTGGTCTACATGGTATTTATTCATGATTGGGAGGAAATCATTTCAGGGACACCGGCAGTGAAAATATACTCTCAGCATGGAGGAACAAATTCGGGTGCAGAGCACCAGAAAATTTTATCTAAACTGTGACACCCCCGGGGGGGGGGGGGACAACAGCACAGCAAGGTGATAAGACAATTCACAGGGACCACAGGAGAGCAGGTTCTCATGCACGTATCCCAGCACTAACCACAGACCACTTTGGTAAGTACCATCAATTCTGTTTGTCCCACTCCATCGACCAGCACACCCGAGTGGGTGTGTGGTCATCACGGCGGTAGCACACACTACTACCTGGCAAAAACCTACTTTCTGAAACACGTTTAACAACCTGCCTGTCAGATATGACCTGCGACATACCCGAAGTAAACAAATGCTCGTTTGGTCTTTTCTTTAAAAAAAAACAAATAAACAAAACAACCACTACCCTGGAATTTCGCCTTTTAATTCATCAGCACTGTCTCAAAGCGACCACAACGCTGCACGGAACGCTGTTCGGCAATCCTTCTAGAATCAAGACTAGAACACATTTCCCTATAACAGCGAGGGCTTCCTCCGCCCTGCAGCGCCAACCCTGGCCTGGGTAGGAGTGAGCACTACGGAACGGCGAGGGGACACCCCGGGACGCGGCCGGCAGGATGTGCGCTGCCCCCCCTCGGCGCTGCCCTGCCCGGGACGCGGCCCTCCTAGGCGCTCCACTGCCCGGCGTTCCCATGCCCGGCGCTGCCCTCCTCGACGCTCCCCTGCCCGGCGCTGCCCTCCTCGGTGCTCCTCTGCCCGGGAAGCGGCCCTGCCCGGCGCTGCCCTCCTCGGTGCTCCTCTGCCCGGGAAGCGGCCCTGCCCGGCGCTGCCCTGCCCGGCGCTGCCCTGCCCGGCGCTGCCCTCCTAGGCGCTGCCCTGCCCGGCGCTGCCCTGCCCGGCGCTGCCCTGCCCGGCGCTGCCCTGCCCGGCGCTGCCCTCCTCGGAGCTGCCCTGCCCGGAACGCGGCCCCCGCCGCCCGCCCGGGGCTGCAGGCCTGCCCCGGCCCACCAAGGGGGCGCGGAAGCCCTTCCGGCCTCGCTCCCGGCCCGCGCCGCCCGCCGGGCTCACCGCGTTTTTCTTCTGCACCATCTTGTCCATCTTTTTGGCGATGCGGATCACTTCGTCGTCCATGGCGCCGGCAGACACTGGCCTGCAGGGGACGAGGGCAGACGTGAGCGGGTGTCCGGCAGCCCCACCACCGCAGGCCGCGGCCTACAGGGCCTCGCTCCCAAACCAGCCCCGAGCGGCGGCGGCGGAGGCTCCTCCCCGCAGGCCGCACTAGTCGAGCTCGCGCGCGTCCCACAGGCACTGCTAATCGACTGCGGATCGCTGAGGGAGCTGGGCAGGCGTGGAGGGCGGCCCGGCTTCCCGCCAGACGGGTTTTTGCCGAGCGTCCGTCTCCGCCCAGGGCGCGTCTGTCTCCGCCCACGGCGGGGTTCAGTCCCCAGCTCCCTGGGGGGCTGCCTGGAGCCTTAGAACCCGCCGAGATCCACGTAGCTTGAATGGGATTCGTGTTCGGAGGGTGGAACTTTGCCGGTTTGAACGTGTGTGGGAAGCCGGGCCGAGCAGTCTCCCTGGTGGACTGCCAGGTGGAAAAACGCAACCCGCCCCCTACCAGGCCCTGGTGGCACGCAGCTGGTCCTTTTTTCGAGTTCGTTTGTGAGCGCCATGAGCACTGAGCCCAGGACTGAATATCTAGAGTGGAGTAATAGTTAACAAAGAAATTAAACAAGGCATCTCACCTGCTTCTGAAGGCACTGGAGGCAGTTAGCGTCCTTAAGGCTTGGCTGGGCTGGGCTTTAGGCACGCGGCATGAGGCTTGCCTGGGTCCCCGTCCGAGCTCCCTGCTAATGCGCCTCAGTGTCGTCAGCTGGCACCTCAGTGCGTGAGTCTCTGCCACAGACGGCCACTGTGGGCATTTGGGGATTAAACCAGGTCCCTGAAGACTGTCCTGCCGCCTTTCACATGAAGTATTCAGAAAGGCAAGGTAGAAAGATACATATTGTTAGTAGAAATTGCAGACTTCTTGAAAGGGCCTTTGCCCAGTTAACATCGTTAATTTTTAAGATTTTTTAATTTTTTTAAGATTTTTTTTTATTGCAAAGACAGATATACAGAGAGGAGGAGAGACAGAGAGCAAGATTTTCCATGCAAGGATTTACTCCCCAAGTGATTACAAGGCCGGACCTGCGGCAATCTGAAGCCAGGAGCCAGGAGCTCTTCCGGGTCTCCCACACAGGTGCAGGGTCCCAAGGCTTTGGGCCGTCCTCGACTGCTTTCCCAGGCTGCAAGCAGAGAGCTGGATGGGAAGTGGGGCGGCCAGGATTAGAAGCGGGGCCCATATGAGATCCCAGTGCATTCAAGGCAAGGACTTTAGCTGCTAGGCCAAGCTGCCAGGCTCAACGGACCCTTATTTTGTGTTTCAATGGCAGAAGTACAGAGATACTTTATAGGATTACTCACTCCCCCAAATGGCCACAAAGGCCAGAGCAGGCTGGGGGAGAAACCAGGAGACACAAGCTTGCCTCTCACGCAGGAACGGGACCCCCGAGGACTCTGCTCCTTTCCAGGCCAATAGCAGAAATGAAGCTGCTCAGACTTGAACCAGTGCCCAATATTGGATGCAGGTGCTGTTGCCAAGGCTTAGCCTGCAGTGCCAGCCCAACACCTTTTCTTACCAACTCATGCTATTTATAATCATACCCAACACTATCAGTGATCAAAATCTGCGTAATGCTCTTTATGAAACAAAGTAATGGATCCCTGACTCCAGCCACCGTGTGCACGTGCTGAGCTTTCCCTGGGCCTGCCTGGGCTCAGGGGGCTGCTCCCTTTGGGGTGAGTACACTGAAGAGGGGAGTGTCTGTGGCCAGGGCAGGCACAGGGCCCACCTGTCACCATCGTTGGGCAGGGGATGGGATTGGGGAGGGCACGACCTTGGGTCTGGGGCTGGAACTTCTGGCAGCCTGCTGGCTGCTGGTGGATCTCAGGCCAGGGTGTCTTCATGCTCAGATCCCTGACTCCAGCCACTGTGTGCACGTGGTGAGCTGTCCCCGTGCAGCCAGTGTGCCATTTGGTGCCAGGCTCTGCTTGCTGACCGCCCAGCCAGGGAGCTCTGGGGTTTTGGTTCTTTGAATCGCTGCTTAGGTAGCTCCAGGTTGAACCCACTGTGCTTCTGGGATGTGAATCAATCCTAAAGACTCCTAATGACAATAACTCTTCCTTTGAAGAACTTGTAATCACTGAACAATGCTGACCACTGAACACTAGTCCCTGCAAAAGCTAAGGCTCAGGGCTTGTCCAGCAGGCTCATATCCTATTACCTGACATGATGATGGATCAGGAGACAGGTCACATTAGGCAGGGCCATGACATTAACTAGCACTTGAGAACCACATGCGGGGGTAGATTCTGTGGGGAATATGTGGGCCAAACCCTATGGAAATTCTAGCCCCACTGGTTAGCTTAAGAGTTGGGGTGGTGATGGACTAAGCTAGGTGGACTAAGCTAGGTGAGACCAAGGATCAATCACAGGTAAAGGAACCATCAATAGTCTAGACAGGTGAAGGCAGCAGTGTCCGAATGTGCATCCTGTATGGGGTGTTGGGCGGGCCACACTGCTACATCACCAGCTCATACAAGGCCCAATGGAAGGCAGACTATGCCTGACACTGGCCTAAAACCCAATGGCATGTATGAGAACTGGGTCTGGGAGTGGATCAAGTGGAGGAACTTGGGAAACTTCCTTGGTGAGTCATAGCTCCTGCTGGTGAACATGTGGTCCAGATCTAGGGTCAGACAAGCTGGGCAAAGTAGCCCCAACAGCTGGTCAATGTGTCAATTGGTAATGGAACGGCATGTACTATGCAGGACTGAGCAAACCTTAGCCCACAAGTGAAACTAGAAGCCAGGATGGAGCACAGGACATGCCAAGCTAGGCTCTTGCACCTACTGGTCTGTGTGAGCCAGGGACGTTAAGCCACAGTGTCTAAGGCAGAGTTCAGGACAGGTGAGGGGTTGAGCCAAGCTGAGACAGAGCAACCACTGGCATGTGCGTGATCTATGGCTGGGAACAGGCCCAGTTGGGGAGCTAAGGGGACAACCCTAGCTGGGTTGAGGTTCCCACCAAGGGGCACATGGGCTGGAATGGGGGCTGTATTCTGATCAGACAATGGTTATAGTCTCCCCTGGCATAAGTGTGGACTGGGACTGGACACACCAAGCTGGGCCAGACTCTAACACCATCTGGTGTCCTGGAGGACCAGGGTAGATGTGGGACAGACTAGGCTAGGTCTCTGCCCCTACTGAGCCATGTGTGAGCCATATGTGGGTATGGACGAGACATGGCTGGGCTGAAACATTCAATGGCAAGAACCAGTTTGGGTTGAAGGCCAGTCAGGAAAAGCCACTGTTCCTGCTAGGAACTGGTATGCGCATTGGAACAGGTTCTGATGGAGGAGCCTGGGCAACTCTTCTGGCAAGACATAGACCCGGCAGGTAAGCGCAAGAAACATGATAGGAAACAGCCCAGAACAGGCCATGGTAAGAGTCCCACTGGCATACATTTGGCATGGGTCAGGGCAGACCAGGCTGAATCAGTTCATGTCATCCACTGGCAAATCCAAGCACCAGAACAGAGTGTGGGTCAAGCCAGGTTCAGTCGCAACAAAAACCAGTGCACAATATGGAATGCCAAGGTGAGGTTGCCTGTACTGGATGTGATTGCAGCGCCCAACCAGCACGCATGAGAACCAGGAAGGGAGGGGGCGGAGCTGGCATGGGGAATAAGGGGGTTTCCCTTGCTGGACAGCTACTCTCGCTGAAGAGCGTGAACTGGGATGGGGGCAGACTAGACTAAGCAGGGCTACAACACCTGTGGCCTCATGTGGACTAGATCAGGGAAAAGCCAGGCTGGGCTGATTATTCCTCCTGGTGCAAACAAAATAAGAGTGGGTGAGGGCTGTTTGGGCTTAGCCACAGCATCAGCTGGCAGAAGCTGGCACTGGGGACTAATTCTGTCAAATCAAACCACAGAACCACCTGGAGAGTGCATAATCCGGGAGAGAGAGAGGCCTGGGAGGGAAATAGAGGGCTCCCTCCTCTTGAGTTACCACTCCCACGGGAGACAGGACACTAGGACAGGTGCTGGGGTGGCCAGAAAGAGAGACACCCGACAGCATCTGTGTGGGCTGCATAGTGGAGCTGGCTAGATGGAACTAAGCTTTAATATCCATTGACATGTATGAGAGATGAATGGAATGTGGGATAGACTGGACTAGTCTGCTACACATACTGGCAAACCGGGGTAGGGAGCACACCTTGTGGGGGTTTTCATGGGTTGCTCTGACTAGGCTGCAGCTTCCACTGGTTTATGTGAAGGCCAAGTATGTGCTGGGCAGAACCAGGCTGGACTGCAACACCCATTGGTTCCAGTGAAAGCCAGGGATGAAAACAGAACCAACGCAGCAACTGTAACCACCAGCTGATCAGGGCATTGGACTGTGCCAGGCCCTGTGCTTGCTAGAACATACAAGAATCTGGTCTGAGAACACCTCAAAGTTTCTTTGGGGGTGTCCCCAATCGAACTGCTGGACTCAGAACCCTAATCATGAAAAGACAGAAGACAGAACAAGTCAATCAACCACCTCAGCTATATGTTGGCAGCGAAATACTGGGTAAACGGAGACTCTATGATGGACTACGTCAATCAGTGGATTGTTTAATGACCTCATCATGCTTGGAGTGGCGAGATTAGCAGCAATTCATAACTGGTGAACTATCAAAACCACTTGAGCAAGACCCTTGAAGCATGCCTCACATCCAGGACCTGAGGTGGTTGGGAGACTGGGTGGGGCTTCTCCCTTAAATCCCACTTTACCTCAGATACATGAAAGAAACAATGTGGAAATAATAGTCGTACCCACTTTCCTATAGCCCTTGAACATTTTTACCCTAATTAACTATGTAAAGGTTGTCAACAATATAATTTAAAAATGAAAAAAATAATAAAGTAATGGCTTTCTCTAGGTCTGACTCATGTGTTTTGGGGGGAAGAACCATTTGGATCATTTCCTTTGCTCTTCATTTTATTTTTAGTTTTTAAAGATTTGAAAAGGAGAGAGAGATCTGTCTGCTCATTGAATCACCAAATGGCTCCAACAGCAAAGATCTGGCTAGGACTAATCCAGGAGCCTCTGGGTCCTGCAAGGCAGTGCGGCAGCCCAGAGCCTGAGCCAACATTTGCTGTTTTCCAAGGT